TTCACCTATTTTGCTTGACTGTTTTTGTTCAGTTGCTATGCAGCTGTCAAGGAAGACTGGTGGTACACCTCATTCAGAGATGATCTGGCAATTTCTACATCACTGCCTTGACACTTTTCCAGAGTGTTTCGTATTTGTTGAGCCGCGGTTACCTCAGGAAGGTTTACAACTCCTGCCTGGTACCTCCCATGGTACAGCTCATGCACATGGCAACAAGATATCAGAGCCAGTGAAAGGTATTATGTTTTCTAGAACTTGCAGGTCTGTGTACATATATGTTTTACATTGTGTTGAGTCATAATATTACTTTCTTTGCACTTACTAAACAGCCATAAATTTGTCTTGGAATGGCCCTTTACATGTAAATCTGTAACACAAATGGTGAAAGGGGATGAATAAACAGAAATAAAATCATGACTGCATGTGCTAAACATACATGCTGTAGCTACCCTCAACAAAAACTACAGTAGTCTTTATTTTCTAAATCATTAATTTTTACTAAAAGAGCACTGGCCGGCAGGTCGCTAGAGCTAATCTTGGAGGGGCCAGTCAGTTTAGGTGTAGGAAATGTTTATTTTTTATTCTTTTATGCAAAATGTTAGTAAATCTATAATCTTATAATGAGGAAAGATTAGGCAAATGGTAGTAATAATTCACTGCAATAAGGATTTACAGTAAATTTCGAAAAAAAAGCTGGCATTAATTCATACTCTCATTACTGGGGAATTTTATCTTAGAAATGATAGCAGCTTAATTTTTCCCTCTGGTGACAATGTGAGATCTCTTTGCTGGGCACCCTAGAGCACAAACATGCTAAAAATTAATGTTGAAAAAATGTTGGCCTGTTGATTTTCAAGTGTATGCATTGCAATGTGGAATTCAGTCTGGAACTAGCGTGTAATTCATGAGTACATGTAGTTATTGTAATTCTTCATTTTTTTTCTTTGCAGTTTTTACATCTTGGATCCTATCTCGAATTCTCTGTGTCCTTGCTGAGCCAGACTGTTCACTGTTACATGAGAAATGTATTTCATTTATTATCCCCTTGCTGCAGGTAATCTATGTACACTTGTACACTGTACATGTTAATCGATAGATTTTGTGTTTACTGTTGTATGTTCTAAATGAAAGTTAATGTACCGGCTCAGCCTTCAGCCTCTTGCTTACTTCATCTGTTTGGCAACCATTCCTACTGAATCGAAGGTTAATGAAAAAAAGTGTTGTCTAATGAATATTTTCCACATCTCACAGTATAAGACAAAATGTAATTCTTTAATTATAACTATGACAAAATTCTTTAATCTGACTAGCTATCAGCAGCCTTAATTTCTACATTAGTAGCATGTGCAGGGTAATAAGGACAGTGTGTGCCATGCCCCCAAGTACAGTAATAGATATTTTAATTGTACATTAATACAGTTTCTGTACAGGACAGTTGCTCTTGAACAGTTTCAATTTTTTTAAAAAAAAAAAAAGGAAGTTCAGTGCGATTGTTGCATTTAATTAAACTCAGCACAAACTGAAATTACTTCAAAGTTTAATTAAATTTGTTAAGTAAGGCTGTTATGATTCTTTGGTGACAGATCTTTATGTTGTGCAATTCTGTCTGTAGTCAAAGCTATGATTGTACAGATTACTTGCATTGCTACTGCTACTCCCACTTACTCCCCACTCATTTATAACCAGATTTAAAGTTCTGGAATAATCATTTTTCATTTTGTTTTTGTTTTTTTTTCTGCAAACAGCTGGTAAAGGGAAAGGACCTAGTCTTTTACAACAAGCTACTGAATGAGTTTGTTTCTCTTTTAAAAGGTGGGTTTTTCTAAATTCTCTTATCTGTAACTAGTGTTGTTTGAACAAATTTATGACATGTGTAAGCGTTAAGTGATGAGTTCAGCTGTGCATTAACAACTCTATGGAATTGTAGTTACTCTTATTTACTGTTCTGCACAGGTTTTACAATGTACATTATATCATGTCAAAATTAAATCATCAGTTTTTGTGCAAACTACTCTTTTTTCAAAAACCTGTAACAAGGAACTAAAGCGTAGTGTTCCCGGTTTTAAAGATTTATACTGTATAGTGGATGGGGAATTACTGATCATTTTGCCTGGGTGTATGATTCAAAGCCAAATTATAAAATTTAATGTTTATCAATGAAGGTACATGTATCACTAAGGGTTGTCCATAAAGAGTCTGCATGGGTTACATCAAATGTATAAATTGAAGCTTGAATGCTATCACAATGTGTTGAAGACAGCATTTGATGTCAACATCTTTAGTGCAGTTAAATTGAAAAGTTTCTTAACTTATCTGTCTTATTTTGTTATTAATAACAACATCAGAGCCTCAGAACACCAGGTTGGACTTAATATTTTGTTATCTTTTATAAAGTATCTCTGCTTTACAAATGAATGTTACTTCTTAATTTTGAATTGATAGTATTATAATTTTACAAGTTATTATTCAGATTATCATTTTGATTATTTTGTTTATTGCATTTGTGGGTTGTTTATCCACTTATTCATACCCATTCAGGGCTGTCATTACAAGGCAGGGGCTGGGGATTTGCCCCGGCTACTAAGAACGCGGCCCCCGGCTACATTCACAGGAAAATGGAAGAAAAATAGAACCAAAAGAAATCCCTGGCTGGTTTGATTCCCTGCCTACTTGTTGTATTTACCTGGCAACTTGAAATCTTAGTGACAGTCCTGCCATTATTTTTTCCCGCTTTGCTTCCCTTTACTTTTTGCACTGAAATTTTTACATGCAACCAGTGCTTTGTGTGTGTGGTGATTAGTGAAACAATATTATTGTTAGTCTACATGTACATGTAACATGATCAATTTTTTCCTTCCTTGACACTTTATTGTTAACAAAACTGAAGGTGTGCAGTCATGACATTAAAAAAAAATTGTTATGAAGTACAATATGTGATCAATTGTGCGAAATCACTGGATAATCAGTGGAGGCATGTGTGGCCGAGTGGTTAACACCTCGAACTCCGGATCTGGATTTCTAAGGTTCAAGCCTCGCCTGTCGTGTTGTTTCCTTAGACAAGGAACTTTACTCCACTTTGTCTCTCGTCACCCAGGTGTATAAATGGGTACCGGCGACATACTGCTGGGGGGTAATCCTGCGATGGCCTAGCGTCCCATCCAGGGGGGAGTAGCAATACTCCTAGGTGCTTCATGCCACGGACACCGGTATAAGCTCCGGCTGTTTGGGCCTTTGGCTTGTGTGTGCCTTTACCTTACCTTTTACTGAATAATCAGAAGTCCTGGCAACTTTTGCAGAGCTTAATGGTTAGCGGTTCTAATATTGTTTTTTTTTTTTTTTTGAATTGGCAGGTCTCACAGTAATTGATGAAACCTTGTTTTGTTCGCATTCTTCTCCTGAAAATGCTTTGCCACTCTTCCTCCGTCATTTTCAGTTTACAGATAATTGTGGGAGTGAGGTAAATTTGATTTATTGTACAATGCGATTACTACAATGTATGTGATAAGAAATGATAATTGGTAATATGACTGAGTAGAGTACAATTCGGTCCATAATAATAATTATGAGTGATTGACAAAATTGGACGACCGTGTAGCGGGAGTCCAATTTGTTAATCATGAGTATGTTTACAGACTGAATTGGACAACACAAAGTTCTGTTACCAATAATTTTAATCATAACTACAACAAAATTTGTGATATTTTAGGCTTTTTTGAATCAAAATAAGAAATTCCGAGAGGTTTGTTGCCACATGTAACAGTGAATAAAAAAAGCCATTCAAGCGCTCTCTGATGGCGTGTACTGTCCAATTATTTAGGCATCATGACGCATACTGTCCTAGAACACTGTCCTATTAGTGCTGAAATCAGACAGTTGATAGCCAATCAGATTTGAGAATTTTGTTATAAAGTAGGTTGAGTTTGATCGTCGGGGTGAACGTAGTCCTGAATGGGCCTGTTGTTGTTGTCCGTGACTGACGTTTCAACAACCTGTGCAGTAGTCATCTTCAGAGTCAAAGTGAGTTGTATCACGTCAGTTGATGGTATTATACTCTGGTTATTGATCTGATTGGTCAATGACGTCGCGATGTTATTGGTCGTCTGTCAGTTAAGCTGTGATGTTATTGGTTATGAAGGCTCGTAATCAGTAATTGGTGCGTTTCAGTCCGTCTATTTTCACAGTTAAACAGTCGTCTATTGTTAGTCAAATTGTCAGTTCTCATTTCTACTTAATTTGAAGGAGGAGCTGAACATGGTCAAAAAGCTGATGTGTATAAAGCATGCTGAGGATTGTTATGCCTTACAGGAGTCTGTTAGGTTTGTAACCTACATGGATTTTCTCTTAAACACGACATCAATAGCTAAGGTTATGGGAATCAGTAATAATTTGACCACCAAAGAGAAAACATCCTTTGATCTTTTATTCAATTCTCTCAACTTAAATCAGGGCTTCTGATAGGTCGCGGAAAAAAGGCAAATTTCGCGGGATTTTTAGGGACAAATTCGCGGAAAAATCGGCCCATTTCGCGGGAATCTGGTTGAGTCTGGTTTTTGCAACATAATCTACGCCTCGTAGTTTTGGGACCTTGTTTGCACGTCTCAGTGATGAAGTTTCAAGATAAATGTGCAAGTTTACGGCATGTAAATAGCCCCAATAGCTGAGATAAGTTTCAGATGTGTCGTACAGGCATGTAATTTTGCGGTATTTCGCGTGTTTTTGTGAATTCCGCTGGATTTCGCGGACTTACCTGAATTTTGTGGCTCCGCGACCGCACGAAATATCAGAAGCCCTGTTAAATGTCTTCTTCAAACTGGAACTGGTATTGTATATATACCAGTATATTTTTACTTACAGGTGTATTATCCCAGACCACATAAAAACTATCTAATGGAATTTATTTGGCTTATTACCTTTACAGTAAGATAATTGCCAATGTCATTGGTGATGTTTACCAGTTTGCACAAGACAATGTAGAAGTTTTATGGAAAATTTGTTGCCAGATGATAAAGACGGGTCTCCTTAATGTTAAACAGGTGTGTTAGTTGATCAGTCAATGCAAGTATTTACCTATTGTTTATCTTCTCTCATATGCTGGAATTTTGGATTTGCTTTTGATTTTTGGCTGAATGACCTCCAACATCATGTGCCTGAGTTTTTTCGCTTTGCGTTCTAGCGTTTATGGAGAATTGATACTATCGTCTTCCTTAAAGGAGCCGTGTCACGAAACTCAGCCAAATTAGAAAATTACAAAATGCCCTTTAAATTAAGAGAAACATAAAAATAACCGCTTAAAACTTTAAAGGAAGGTTAATATAACATAACAGAAACAACAGATGCCACGGATGGGCAAAACTGAAGAAGATTGAAACGGATTGAAATTAGGGTTTTTGAAAACTGTTCAGCCTAACAGTTTTTCAAAGTTGATCCCTGCTGCTTGCAACTTCAAAAATAATGCTCAGGAGACATATTTGTTTGTCTCGGATCTCTGATTTTGTCATTTACATGTAATTTCCTTGCTTGCTTTAAGTTCCATAGCGATTGAGGGCGAGTAATTGGCAAAATTAAACAAAATGAACGGGACTGCCGTGACACAGCCCCTTTAAATGAAATCAGCTTCCTTCTTAAATAAGCCCCTCCCTCTATATACTGCCTTTTAAAAGTATAATTAAAATGTTTGTTATTCAAAGTTTTGTGAATAGAGAAGTGTTAAAGGCTGTCTTGGTGTGATAATTCTATGACAGGCAGCACTTGATGTATTAACTGGATTGTTACCTTGGACTGGACTACCCAATATACCTGTGCTGGATCAGTTTGTCAAGTGCCTGTGTTCTTTACTAGAGCTACTCGTGTCTGTTGCTGAAAGGTTACCAGCACATGGAAGGTACTGGTAACATCATTGTAGCATGACTTACGATCTTGTAAAGGTCTTGAATTTTACTAGTCGTCTCGAAAAGTCCTTAAATTCGGTTTAGGTCCTTAAAAAGTACTTAATTTCTTTATTAGGTCTTAAGCAGTCATTGAAATTCACAATCTTGTCTACGCCAGACACCGTTTTCTATAAAATTACATTATTTTGCCAAGGAATATTTGGCTCATACTTGGTGTAAGAACCTGTAAAACTCACCGGTAGCGTGAAAACATTTTTGTGCATGAGCGATATTTTATTTATGTTTCTTTTTTTCAAGTGCTATTTCTGTACCTCAGATGCAATTGCAAGTCATACCCAGTCATTTTGCAAAGCTCTTGTTGTGGAAAGTAGTATAAAATAATATGATCAACGATGGCCGAAGAATTAAAAGTCATAAATGACTCCATGACGTGTTTTAGCCAATAGGGTGATCGTAGGGGGGTAAAGAATGCTTATTTACTGAATAAATCTTAGTCCTTAAAAACTGTAATTTGGCCTTAAAAAATCCTTGAAAATTCCTTGATATTTGATTGCTGAGGTTGTATGAACCGTGCTTACATTTACGACTACCTTTCTTGATGTCCTGTTTTTTTTAGTTCTTTTATGGATACGATAGAAAGTGGCTGGGAAATACGTTTGTTTTAACAAGGTTATGTGATATCGGGGTTCTTGTTTTACTCATTTGTCTATGATACAGCTGTAATTTGTGAGGAGAATTTTGTTGGTTATAGTTGGGTCCACAGTACCGCTCAATAGTAAGTTACCAGTCGCGTCCCGTTTCCTGTGCGACGAACGAGAATCGCCATCACGTGCTACGAGGATCGCGCCCTGCGCTACAGGAATCGCGTAGTGCGCGACGCGATTCGGATCTCGTGAGAAGGTAGTAACTTACTTTTGTGCAGTACTATAATTTCTGGTGTTGCGTTGGTCTTATACACTGTCTGTCATTAATACAATGTCATTTTCACTTTTTAAAAACATTCATTTTCTGCAGAGAAAAAGTCCCTGGGCTAGAGATTAGTCTTGCAAAGTGCCTTGATGTCCTCTCTGGTGGAAAAAAAGAGCCAAGTTGTCATAAAAGCTCAACAGAACAGCCCACTCTTTATTCTTTTCCTGGAGCATATGTCAACAATTTCCTCCTTTCATTCAGGAAAACTCTCTGTAATGGCGGTCTGCATCTGTTTGTTACCCAAGAAATGAAGGTAGTGTACAACCACAGGAATTTTAACCAAGTAACTGCAGTTATGACATTCTGTTTTTCAATTATCTTGCTCTAGTGATCAGTGGTTCTGAACCCAAACATACCGTAAAATTCCAAAAATAAGCCCCGGGGCATATATTTTTCAAAGGCCCTTTTTGAGGGGCTTATTTTTGGAGGGGCTTATCTACGGAGCGAAAATTGGCGTTTCAAAATCGATTGGGCTAGCCTTATTATTGCAAGTAAATTTACCGTTTTTGCTTTGTTTTACTTTGTATTTGAGGGCAATTTTCCAAGTACAAGCCCCCGGGGGCTTATTTATTATTTGGAGACAATTTGAGACAATTTTGAAATGTCACTAGTGGTATTTTTGCAATTATATCATGTACAAATCATGCTATTATTTGTTTACACTACTACCCGGAAAGGTTTTGTAATTTTCACATGTAGTTATTTCAAATTAAGCTGAAATACCACTGCTCTTAGCCAATCAAATGAAAGAAATTTCTCATGTAGTAGTATGATGTCACAGAATATTTTCTTTCTTATGTGTTGCTCTAGGCAGCAGTATGCCGGTTTGTTGCCCATATCTACAGGTGCATTCCAGTGAGCACTGGAGGCGCAAATGCTCCTTTATCACGGTACAGCATTAAAGATGAAATAAATGAAAGGCTGGCCAGCTATATAGGCGTGGAACATGAGCAGCAGGTAACTATAAAATGGATTTATCACAAACCTAAAGGCAATTAGCCAATTGTTGCCTATTCACATTGTATTCGTAGTGTAATAACAAGTGTCAGCTATCTAATCACGAGAGAATGGTGCGAGACCACATGAGCTGGCTCTTTCATGAGTCCATTTAAACCCATCCACACCATTGTCATACGTTTAAACAGTCAAAGACAACCTCTTAACGCATAATGTTAGCAGGCGAACGAGATCCTTACCCAGATGTTGTACCCAGACCTTTTTCGTTTATAGATAACCTTAGATGGACTTCATCTAAGTATGGATGTCAACACTAACTAAAGAAAAAATTGAGGACGTTGTTTTACATTGTGTGTGTATGTCTCCAACTTGAGATAGGCTTGTTGCGTTTTTCCTGGTCAATCAATCCACATGAAGGTCTACTAGAGCTGTTTAGGGGATTCAGTTACTTTAACTACCCGTTTGAATGGACATGGTGTTGGAAACCGAGAAATCCCACTCTGGAAACCACCTGCGCTGCATGTAACCTTGTTGTCTCAGAATTAGCAGTATGCATAACGTAGTATTAATCTTCATTATCCAAATCATTTATTTTAACAGTGGACACAATGATAAGTCAAGTATGGTGTTAATTCGCTAAGATTTTCCTTTTCCTTTGCAGTTCTTAGTGGGCTGTTTGTATGTGGCTGTCAATGATGAAAAAGCCAACAAGAAAACTCCACTGCTCACCAAGGTATAAATACAAACAAACAAGTTTTTTAAGTAAATGTACATGTACATAGCAAGCTTGAATATATAATACAGTGTAGCTGTCATCATTTCCGATTTGATGCTTCCATCCAAGGTTTACCCCCAACGCCTTGAGTCATGATTGGTAACTGGTTAAAAATTTGCAGAGTCAGGGAAGTCTTTATTGCTTCACAAATGCCGTATTTCCTCAAAATAATAATAGCCGTCCCTCGATTAACCCTTTGTTGACGGCCGGCGACTAGCAAAAAATCCCACATTTTTCACCAATTCCTATGTTTTGGACTGGTTTTCGGCTAATTAGGATGAGAATGGCTAAAATTAAGTTTGCAGAAAAAGACATTTTCTCTGACTAATTGGACGTTTTGTTTTTGCGAATCTATTTCAATCTATCTGTCTCTTTCGCTCTCCTTTTTTCCTTTGCCTTTCTTCTTTATTAGCAGTTTGTTGCCCACTTTATCGTCTTTCTTTTGCGTGGAATTGTGGCTGGCCAACTTTTTAGGAAAGGGACAAATTTGATCTTCAAAGTGTAGTAATTGGCAGTGGATTTTTCCCCAGAATGTTACCTTTGTGAGTATCAAAAATGGAAGGAAAAAGACCAAAGCATTCGTCGAAGGGTTAATCGCCCCCTTCGAATAATCTTCCCCCTTTGACGGAAATATTTAAACTACTCACCTACCTCGAATCATTAACCACCCCTCTAGCTATATTCCCTTGTTCATCCCCTCCCTTTCTCCGTTCTCTTTCTTCATCCCCTCTCCCCTCAGCAAAACTGATCATTGAGAATTCAAGCTCTGACGCCGATGATGTTGACATTGAAAATTAATCAAGGAAGCAAATTCGAACACTTAAAAAGCCCATGTTTAGTTTATTTGAAGAATTTATGTTTTTGATTTAATGGCATAATAAAACAGAATATTTAGGGCATGACTTCCAGTGAGCAATATTTGAAAAATATGGCCTCCTTCGAATAATCGCCCCCTTTTTTGGTGCGAAAAAAAAAGGCCTTTGTGATAAGCTGTGCCTTTATTCCTGACTTGCCCTCAGTTGTACAGTACGTGGATAACGTTATTCACTAGATAATTATCTCTACCTAGTGGATAACGCACGGTTGGTTTCCTTAAAATGATTATTCGCTGGATAGTAATTTAGTATCCGGTGGATAGTACTATCCTGCAAAACGTCACAACCAGGACTTGATGTCCAGACCATATGCAGTCTATATCTGAGATTTTGAATTGATAAATCAGGTACTTTTACGAAATTTTTTTCTTTCTTTAAAGATAATTGTTTTTGGTCGATTGTACGGCTAATTGTTTTTATTTGTGTTTTGTCCGTTCATTTTCTCTGCAGTCGGGTGGACACTCTGCTGCTGACCAAGCGTCAAGGTAATGGCCAAAATAGCAATCCCTCAATGAGTATTTGTTATACTTTTGCTCCTGAGAAATACACTGTTAGCAACTTATAAACAATTTGGATGAGAATATTTTTCTGTTTTGAAAATACGCTTGTCCGACCAGGTCCCAGTCGTGAAAAATTTCGTTCGTTACTGCGCATATTTTAGCTTCAAACGCATAGCCAACGATGCTTGATACGGTGTCCGGTTGTCGATAGTGTTGAAGAGCAACTACATGTAGGTTTCAATTTCCTCGGGGAATAGATGAATTTAAGTCGGTCATTGTAGGATTAGCGTCATGTCATTTACAGGTCTGTGCGTTAACCGTTTGTTCTGATTTTCTTGAGTCCTTTTTGCAAGATCAGCCGTGTTCGTGGAGGCAGCGTGGCCGAGCGGTTAGAGCGCTGGACTTACAATTCTTAGGCCCCGCGTTCAAATTCCGCACTGACCCCTAGCTAGAATTTTTCTCCCAATTTCAAATTCTTGGCCACCCTTGTAAAATAGCCAACTGGTTCGCTTCCTACCACATATCTCTGAAAAGCCCCGTTACATTTCGTTTATTCTTAGTGTGCGCACAAGCTCAAATTGAATATGAAACATTGTCCTTATAGCAAGCCCAGTACACCAAAGAAAAGAAAAACACTGGTTATCTCCGATCCTGAGAACGGACAAGAGAGACAAACTCAAGCCTCAGCAACAATGGCAAGGATATTGGAAAGGTACAAAGACTTCGAAAAATCTCTTCTGCACGATGCTAATGAAATTCCTCCGGATTTGGTAAGGGATTCATCTCTATTGTTTGTTTGTTAGAGACACGTCTTGCCTTTTTTTTCTTTTTTGCTTTTCGAGCCGGAAAATTTACAGCTTCTCTATTTGTCAGAGCCAACTTACTCTGATAAAAGCTCGTGATTGAGATATCAGCTATTATGGTAATGTCCCTTTTAAGATGACCAATGAAATTCGTTTAAACTAGTAAGTTATCGGATGGTCAGTTCCTTGGTAAAGCATTTACATTTGTAACAAGAAATTAAACTGAGGAATGTCATTAGACGTTTCTATGTTTCTAACATCATTATGAAGAATGAAAATCGATAATTGTGCCAAATTTGTTAAAAGAGTTGAGGTTTGAATAAATTAGATGGAATTCGTGAACGCTTTATTCAGATGTAGATATCCTAATAGAAAAGCTTCGTGCGAATTGAGTCAGATTGCTCGTTAAGCTGCGATGGTTTGAGTTCCGGTTAAAACAGTATTTCGTAGACAAGGCATTCAAATTTATTCCCGCACTTTTTGAGGACCGAAAAATTTTTCGTGAGGGTTGGTTTGTTGACCCCATGTTGTTTTTTATATCTCTCAAGTCATGTAGATAATTGCTCTATATTTTTCTTCTACGCTAGAAGTTGTAAGTATACTGACGTTTAGTGTCCAGTGGTGAAACAGATACTGAAACAGGTTTTGGGTTCTGAAATGTTTGATATTTAATGCCTTTCTTTCAATTCAGGTTTCAGTCGTTTGTAAACTCGAGGGTATTCGTGTAACAACAGAAGTAATGGTCCATCTATGCAGTTATCACATCAAGAACTCCACGGATCCTAATGATGTTAAAGGTAATTACGCTTACAAAGTAAAAAGAGAAATTAGTTAAATAAGCTACAAGATTCTAACACTAGAAACCTCTAATAAAAAAGTTAAAAAAAAACAACCGCTATTTTTGTTGCAATCATTGGTGGGCTCATAAGAAACAATAGTGTTAGTTAAGGCCTTGAAGATGGAAGCGAGGACGTTCCAAGTTTGATGTAAATCCAGGAAACCAAGGCAGAAGTAGCAAGTTGCAAGGAACCGAGACGAAGTTAAAAGAGGATTTCCTTGACTCTTTGTCTAATTTGTTTACATTTACGTCCCATTGTAAACTCAAACAACGCAAACTCAATTTCCAACGTTGACTTACTGCGACAATAAAGCGGCAAAAGTATGAAACTGAGAACAAAGCACGATACATGCAGGCGAAGCTGACTATATTACCTATGTAACCTACATAACATTAGGCAGCCTTTTGGATGTAATTGTATGGTTATGAGGCTGAGGATTCTGATCAGTCTAGTCTGGTGGTGTTACTTGGGATGGGTCCTTTGATTTACTATAATATACCATAAAATTCCGAAAATGAGCCCCGGGGCCTATATTTTTCAAAGGCCCTTTTTGAGGGGCTTATTTTTGGAGGGGTTATATTCGGTGGGGCCTATGTACGGAGGGAAATTTGCGTTTTCAAAATCGATTGGGCTAGCCTTGTAGTGGGAAGGAAATTTGCCATTTTTGTTTTGTTTTACTTATTTTGTATTCGAGGGCAAATTCCAAGTACAAGCCCCCCGGGGGCTTATATTCGGAGGGGCGATTTAACGGACGGTTTTTTGCGTTACGATTTTGGGGGCCTTATATTTGGAGGGGCTTATTTTTGGAATTTTACGGTATGTTCTTTCGCGTATTTACTGTAAAGTTTGGCCTTTTTTTCCAAAAAAAAAAAGAAGAAAATTAGGTGGTAGCTGGTAGCCTTATTTTTGTCTTTGTTTGACTCTCATCTGCGTTTCTTTTTTAACTTAGTATCAGATATCACCCAAAACTAATAAAGGCAAAAGAAGTTTTAATCCAGGATAAAATTTTAATCTCAACATATGCAAACACTACCTTAATTTTAAGCGTTTTTTTTTTTCATTGCAGACTTTTTTACCAGCCTGGATCTAAGCCGTCTCTTTGCTGTTCTGAAAAAGTCTTTGCAAGTCATGCTTCAATTTGTAGAGGAATCGACGCAACCGCTGGACGCTTCGAAGACTCTCAATTCAGCGTATCAAAAGCTTGTTCAGGTTTCAGGAGCCCTTTATTGTATGTCAGATTTAATCCAAATCCCAATGGATTTGTGGCAGTTCTCCATATTTGTGGTCTCCATCCCTTGGTTATCGAGAGGAGATTCTTCGTGGAATGACCTGCCTCACAAGTTTGGCTTGTCTGTCGATGCACTGGCCAGATTTGGCCTAAGACTTGGTCCTTTAATCACCAAGGAAAACATGGATATGTGTCTTCACTTACTTGCAGGTTTTCCATCAGATGCTGCGCCTACATGGAGAACTCAAGTATTTCTCTTAGTCTTGGTAATACACTTACGTACTAATACTTTTAACAGGAGGCACAGGACGTTCATCTAATATCTAGACATCAAAAAGTGGTTGCCCTGTGTAAGGTAATCCAAGACAGCCTTAGATTCTGGATTCCACGATGTGTATTTCGGATTCCAGGCACAAGATTCCACATTTCTTGTTTCCAATTGCAATAATTAGGGGGATTCTGGATTCCTTGAGCTGAATTTTCGATTCCAACCCGGATATATGGATCCACTGGTAAAATTTTTCCCGAATTCGGGAAACAGAGGATAGCCTTACATGGGGCAAAAGTAGCTTACGAAAATGAGACTTGGTCGAGCTTTTGTAAAGTTACTTTTAGGTGTCTGGATATCGGATATAATATATCTTTTCATGACCAACAATTCGTGAAAGAATTCAAAGTTAAAATTCGCGTAATCTTAGGTTAGTAACATCTGATTACCTAACCTCCGTCACCAGGACTCGTAAAAAACGCTTGAAAGCTCTCACATTTTAACGTTTTGCTTGTCCGCCAGGGCCATTGCTTGCTTGTCTTAGCTAATGATTTCGTCACCAGATGACTTGCCTAGAACCCTGCGCATTGGACAAGTAAGGTTAAAAGGTACTTGCCCTGCAAGGAAATCTACTTGTCCCGGACGACCAGACGGGACTTTTTGGAGCCCTGCGTCACTCTAGACGACTGTTCTCCTAGAGCAACTGCGCTGCCTGGTATAAATTAAACTTAAAAGGAGTGGACCTGAAAGATTTTGTCGGACGCTTGAACCGCAACAGAGAGTTTAAGCTTCACGTAAACGGCAAACGGCAAACGGCAAACGTCAGATTCAAGTTGAGAATTTCTCAAAATAGAAAATGAGATAAAAACGGTTCAAAATAATTCTTACGGATAAAAGATTGCGTAAAACTATTAATTTATGTGTAGAAATAGTGAACAATAAACGATAGGTAAGGGGACACTTGGTCACGTGGTACAAATTCGCTTTTGCCGTTTGACGTCATCGTGAAGCTTAACCTCTCTAACGACCGCACATAACCGTGGGTGCTTACAAGGTGCTCTCAAATTTTAAAGGCCAACCGGGTGGATACCTTGTACATGGTCATAAGACTTTAAAAGTTTGACGTGGTGGGCGAACGACCTGCTAATCATTCTATCCAAATCAGCTGAACAGACTAAAAACGGTTGAGAAATGAAATTGCATCTTCTCAAATCGCAGCACATAAATTATTCTCTGAAGCTTCCCAAGCGGAATGGCGCAAACAATTTTGTTTTTTCCAACCGAAATTTCGGCATTTTTCAATGTAATTGGTAACTACAGACAAACCATGTTAATAAGGACACTGAGGGGGCGATAGAAAGTGTCCGTATTAACGGGGTGTCGGTATAAGGCGGGTTGAATTTAGGTTAGGGCTTTCTTTCCCCAGGGACTAATCGAACTCCGTGATGATGAGGTGTCCGTAAAGAGGGGTTAATGTTTAGTTGTACCCTTGTTTCTCACAAGTCTGTCTCATTCATATAACAGAAAGACGCTTCACCTGACGTTAAGACTTTGGCTTTGAAGTGGCTTCCCCTTCTCTTGTCTTCTCTCGGTTCCTTCTCATTTCATCTGATGACTAACATCCTTCCTGGGGTTATGAGTGCTGCTGGTGCTATTCAAGAGGAAATTGCTAAAATTATTGGACCTTTAGCATGCGTACTTACTGATAATACAGTGATAAGGAAGATGAATAATGACCTGTGTTTTGATGACGCTGTCTGCAACAGTATCACTTTTCTCTGCCCTGATTGCGACTCAGAAATCATTAAGAAAAGAGGTAGCGTATTTACTTTTGACTTTTACGTGTATTGTAGAACTGTGCCAACTCGAACGTCTATCAGGAGAAAAACTACGACCAGGGAGAGAAAATGAATGGTTCGAGTTAACTGCAGTTAGAGTGTAATTTGCAAGGCTGGTTTTGAACCTCAAGATATCCTGGAAGTCGTTATCCTTTATTCAAAAATACATTAATAATTAATAAAGAAAAATCCAAAGGAAGTAATGTTTAATGAGTGTCCTTATATCTGATAAAGACACGGCTCAACTTAACGTCCAATTTTTTGGACCAAAATCACCCCACATCTAAATGCTAGTGCAAGAATGAGTTGATCTATATCACAGATTATGAAGCTGTTCAAAAAAACTCGCAGTCGTGTATTATAAGGTGTTAAAACTCGTTTTTTAAACAGGACATCGCAAAGTTTGAAAGCGCTACAGGGTCAGTTCAATGGAGTGTCCTTAAGACAAATGTCTGGTAATACATTTCATTGCACATTTTCAAGTTTTTTAATGGCTGTATCTTCTTCATTATCTAACAAATTAACACCAAACTTGCGGATTTTGTCAAGCTCGCTGTGCTTTTTTTGTCAGCGTGGGACTGGCATTTCTGTTTATGAGGGGTTGCAGCATTGGTATTGACAATCCCATAATACAAGGGCTTGTTCCCAGTACCCCTCGGTTTGAAGCGAGGTAATTGTAGCGAGTACATGTAGGAAGATGTCATTAGCTCCGTAGGAGTAGTTTTTCTAACTTGTGGTACTTTTAACACTCCTAGGTGGCAACGATGACAACAAACCACAAGCCATAGTGAATGCCTCCATATTCACCCCGTACCTACAACTTTTAGCACCCGATGTGGGCTCCTCCATCAAATGTGCTTTCGTCAAGAGTATGAAAAGAATTTTCACTCACATGACATTCACTGCCGACTCTGCAGCTCATAGTTCCATTGTTAGTGCAACATGTTTTGATCTTATCGAGGACCTGGAGTTTGAGGTCAGGATGGCTTTTAGGTGAGAAGTGTTAGAAACGAAGTACGAAATGGCTTCAAACATTTGCGAAATTTTACGGAAGATTGGTTGTAGTGGTAGTAGGTGCGGAGTGTGGGGTACACATTTTGTGCTACTCCCCTTCACATTACAAACGTCTGTAAAACCTTACATCATAGCGGGGCATCTCTTCATCTCAATAAAAAATCTCTCTCTCATACTTGGCAGCTTTACCGATTTTGAGGCGCTCTTTCCATTGGTGTCCATGGATTTACAAAAGTTAAAAAAAGCGTGGAAGGCTATACGTCGAAATTGGTCGTATTTACTCGTGTGGGGAGTTGCTAAGAAAGTTGTATGAGGACTAGACTAAAGGAAAGGCAACCTCTTTGTTCCTTGTTGAAATAGAGTATACTCTTCAAATTCATATTGTTATCCTCAAATACTAGAAGCCGCGTTTTCTTTTGATGCAAATGACGATTTTTGACAATTCCACTTACTAAATATATAATATTGTTTGCTCTTTGTACAGCACTGTGGCTCCTTATATAGTCAAGCCCGCAGGATCAGATTCAAACAATAACATGCAAAAAACTGTCATTTCCAAGTTAAAGAAAGTGTTTGTTAAGGCCTCATCGCAAGGAAACTGCAGCCTGCAGGAAACAGTTGTGTTAACAATAGGACAGTTGGGAAGGATTGCTGAAGGAGAATTGCTATTGGTTGTGATTGTCAGCTTGCTGGAAAGTTTAACTGCGCACTCGCAACTCATAAGGGCTGTTGCCTTCAAACAGGTATGGCAAAGCCCGGATGTTATGACATTTATATAATAATCTGACACAATAGCACTGTCGCCAAGTAGTTAAGGTTAGCTCTGGAAATTGGTCAACTGCTAGCAAAAGGATTTACTTGCGCCCCCTTGGCAACTGCATAACTTCAATTATAAGGCGGTTATCGGAGATTGTCTGACCAAACTTGGCCCATGCCTGAAGAAATCTTAACTGTGATCGGAGATGTTGTCTAGGCGAAGTTCATAGTAAGTTTACGCAACAGGACAGCAGAAAGAAGAGCACGAAAAAACGTCTGTGTGACATTCAAACGTGACACTTGGCGTTACTAAATTAAGGTCGTTTACAAAAGATCTGTTGAAAGCAAGGTGAAGTTTGGTGGAAAAATGTTTTGAACGTAATTATTGTCACGCTTGTCACAGAAGGTCTGCCGTTTTCTTTCCGCTGGCGTCCTAGTGCCTGTCACAAATTTTAATACCAAAGACTATTATATTGCGGATGAATACAATCTACCTTGGGCATGTCAGTTATCGTACGAACGATATAACATGCATTGCTACGGTGAAGTTATGGCAGTAACATTAGCAAAAGTAGTCTGTATAAGTATGTTTTCCCTAAAGTGGACCGACTGTTTTGGATTTTAGGTCCAAGAGGTGGCTAAGTTCCAGAGGAAGACATTGAAGGATTTGTTCTCGAGATTCAAGCAGCAGATATGCAATTTTGTCGTAGACGCAGTTGATGATACACAGAGACAGAACCCTACTTCTAAAGTTCCCTTGGATATTGTGTCAGAGGTTGCCATTGTGTTTGAATTCAGGGATGTTCACTCATTTTTGAAGGTAGAAAATTACTTTCCTTCTGATGTTGTGATAACTGAGTCGTAATGACCACAGGGTACCCAGATTCACAACAACCTACTGGAAGCCAAATTATACTTACTAAGTCAGTGAGAAACCAAAACATTAAAACTTGCTAAAATGGCGTTTATAGAGCAGGAAATAGTAAGGAAACAACACAGACACAACCCTTTTTGAGGTTTGTATACTTTAATAGCTGTTTATGTCCATTGCAACCGTTTTATCGATCTTACGATAAATTCCAACACAAATCCTTATAATGTGGCTGCCATTAGGCTGTGGTGAATCTGGGTACCCTGTGCAATGACCCGTAGGGGCACTTTTCATTTACATGGAAAAACCGGAGAGTCCAGGTAGAAAATCAGTTGGCTCGCGCCGTTTCGTTTGGGAAGATTGAGAATTAGGGGGCAGTGATTTGAGGCAATGCAATTTTTCCGCTCTTCGAAGTCTGTTCAGCTGATTTATATATATTTTTAGCAGGCCGTTTTGCCACCTGGTCAAATTTTATAGTTGTGTGTTTAATGAAAAGAGCACAAGATATATTTCCACGAGTGTCGTAATGGTAAGAACCCAAGGTTAGTTGCTAAATCTGGTTTGAACTGGCTTTGTTTCGTTTTTCTTTCTTTCTTGTAAAACATTTACTGCAAGTTCCATTATTGTTTTACTCAGTAATCTCCCAAACTGTTTAATTATTGGTGATAAGGACGTTTTCATTTTGAAATGTCCAATTTTCTGTCTCGTTGTCTTCTGTTTGTCAAGGTAAAAAAGTTCCATCAAGATCCTCAAAACGTATCATTGTGCGGCAATTGTATGATGGTTTTTGTGCATATCATCGCATTTCTTTTGCTGTCTCGTTAATGTTTTTTGCTAAGAAATCTGGGTTTTCGTACACAGAGTACGCTGCATTTTGTCATCCCTTATCTTGTCAAGAAAGCTTCGACTTCATCTTCAGCAATCTTGAGGCATATTGCCAAGGAGTTGAAGATGAACAGACGAGAGATGCTGCTAGAGAATTTTAAGTTCGTATTTTCATTTCTTGTGAGGACGTGTTCACCCCCCGAGCTGGAGAAAGCTCTTGGATACGTGCAGGTACGCATTAATTTTATCCTTACCTTTACTACTCTGAGCCAAAAACGTATAGTACTACATTCGCACGTTATCCGGACTCCGTTCTAAAGATATGAGAAATCAGATTATAAGAATTTGCTTAACGATCAGTGTGATAGGTACCTGGTTCCATTGCATTGGCGTATACAGCAATTTTCAAGTAGTTATAATGACTCCTCTAGTGGGGCTAATTTAAGTCTTTACAGTGGGGTTATTTTTTGGGGAGTTATTTTAACTCCAAAAAGGAGTTTAAAGAACTCTTTTTCAGGAGTAAAAGTGACCCCAGATATTGAGGAGTTAAAATAACCCCCAAAAAGGAGTTATCCTGTACCTAGAATTTTTACTCCACTTTCAGAGTTACATTAACTCCAAAAAGAGTAAAAACAACCGATGTAAGGAGTAAAAATAACCCCATTTCTGAGTAATTTTAACTCCAGACTGGGAGTAAAAAGAACTCTTTTTCAGAAGTAAAAATGACCCCAAATTCGGGTTTAAAGTAGGAGTTAAAGTAACCCCCAAAAAGGGATTATCCTGTACCTAAAATGTTTTCTTCATTTTTGAAGGTTATAATAACTCCTCAAAAATTACGGTGTTTAGGAGCTCATGGCTGGAGGGCGCGGGCTTAACAGCCATGGGGGCGTAACTCTATCTAGGGGCTGGCTTTGCCAAAAGTGGAAGCTCCTGGACAGCTCTGGCACCCACCGCCACTAAGCGACGCAGTTATTAACTTTGTGTACTCCTGTGTGTACACGTTTTGCTGTTTGGTAGGGAAAGGTATGGTTTAGAGATGATAATTATCATTGCGTTTCAGAAAGAGACAGATGTGGAACTTGGAAGCTTGCTACGATCTGAAGCTCTGAGTGTTTACAATCAGTTATTGCTGTACTTGAGTGTCAGCTATGACAAAGTATTTAGTGGACTGGCAATGCTGGCTTTAAAGGATGACACATACACTGGGCCTAAAGATCTCAAAACCACTCAACATCTGGTGAGCTGTTATAAACGCAACGTTTGCGGTTGCGAAAAGAAAGCCTGAAAAGAAAGCCTGTCTGGATTCGAACCCTGACCTGTGCGATACTGGTGCAGCGCTCAACCATTTGAGCCATGGCTCGTTATAATCTCATAGAAGGATGGCAAAAAAAAAAGGACAGAAAAAAAAGGAATATATGATTTCATATAGAAAGTTCGGTGTAAAAAATTGAATGAAGGAAGTTAATCCCAGTCATAGACGCCTAAAAAAATTCAGTTTTTTATTCTTTTCCTTCTTTTTTTGCAGACATTTCCGTGAAAACATTAAATGAAACTAATGAGAATCGCATTTGATCATAGACGCAACGTTTGCATTCTTTTCTTTCTTTTTTTGCAGCCATTTCCGCTGGTTTTTCTTGAGATTTGCCAGAACATTTTGTCTATATTTCTTCTAATTTTTTGTTTAAACATACAACAACCCTTAATATTGAAGGACTGGAAAACAGGCCAAGGAGAATGTTCAAAGAGCTGTGAAGACTAGGGTAATTTATTACAGCAGTGAGATGTTTTGGGCAAAGATTTAAAAACATTTAGTCTCATTTGCGTAGTCAGTGTCATTAATTCTTTTCTGTCGTTGAAACTGTGAATGTTTTGCTCGGGTCACACCTTACATTATAATTTCCTGGGCTGGGTTGCTCAAAGCTGGATTAAGGTAAGGCAGGGTTAGTTCAAAATTTGAAGTTCAGATATGAAAGCTTAAAAAGCAAATTTAAAATAATTATTTTTGTCTACAATTTGTTCGTTGAATGCTTTGCAAAGAATTACAGAAAATTATCCAAGAATATGCGTTTGAGAAAGAGAAAAAGAAACCTAGAGTACAATTTAACAACGGGTTAGCACTAATCGGTCTTTGAACAGCTGGGCCCAGGTGTTTGAATGTTATCTCTTGTTCTTACAGGCTAATTTCCTTCAGTCAAGACTGCTTGGCATCCTTGCCTTCTACAACACTGTGCTTCTTACCAACACTGACTTGGAAGAAAAGAAATTAGCTCTAGAAAGTCTTACTAAGCTGATGCAGATCATGGGTCCAAAGTACATCACCACAGTTCGTGTGAAAATTATGGGCATTCTTCGACTCTGCCTCAGATTCCAGGATAAGGGATTTCCCGAGTTGACATGTGATGCTTGGGAAAGCTTTGTGCGAAATGTCAAGCTTTCAAATCTAGGGCCTATGTTGAGTCAAATTGTCGTCACCCTTTTGCCCTACCTGAACAAACTTCCGGCCAGAGTAACCCAGATATTTCATTTTCTGATTGTTGAAAACAAGACTTCCTTGCAAGATTATTTTCATGAGATTTATTTCCTACCCGATATTCCTGAGCTTCGTAGAGTAAGTGCTGTGCTCAGATCGTGCAGTGGAAAGTCTTCCAGGAACATGGATTTGCAAGCCCAGCTTCGACAGTCTCTCAAAGGTCTTGCTAATGAAAGTGCAGACGTCCAGAAACACGCGTTAACAAAACTAAAGCAATTACTTCATGATAATCAGGTAAATAGGATATCCAGTTCAGTCCGTTTGTAGGTGTTATGTTTTTGTAATATAAACTATAAAATTTGGAACATAAAGACGCGTCATGAACCAATTAAAAGGTAAAAGTTGTCATTAGGATTCAGTATGACGTTTACATAAAAACGGCAAACGTCATTTTGTTCCACGTGATCAAGTTTTCCCTTTATTTGTCGTTTACCGTTCATTATATCTACAAAAAAATAATCATTTTCACGCCACAACCAGTTGCAAAATTGTTGTGACATTTCGACGGAAAACCGGCCTTCTTAACTTAAAATCATTGCTACGGAATAAAACACTCACCCCTCCCTCTCCTCCAAGTTTTCTTGTATTGCAAGGGGGAGGAAGGGAGGCCTATTAAACCCAAATAAGTTACAGTGTCTCAAGTATTATTTTTAGCACCTGGTTGCAGTTTCATCCAACTCAAGTCCTACTTTGAGAAACTGCCAAATTAGATCAGATGTTTGTGGTGTGCCTCAAACATGATGGTAAACCTCTCTACTATGTTTTGCGTCACTTGCGTCGTGTTTCTAAAGTGCTGGTCGATTGGCTGTAAATACGTTTCGGCAATTTTATTTTTATTGCGGGACTTGTACCCCATCAATGCCAATAATGTTCAAATGCTGTATAATTCAACTGCATCACAAGCTTTCAGCTCGATCATTCCTGTTTTCACTTGGCTGGACCCTCTTCCATATGGAGATCTTCTTTTTCTGACAAAATTTACTGCTCTCCTGTTGACACGACGTCTTGGGCATAATTTCCTCAGTGAAGCTGAATTAGATTTTCGGTGGAAAGTGTTTGTTAGGGTATTCTAAAAACAGGGTAGTTTAATGTCAGTGATATCTTGACTTGTTTTATGAATATTATTGTTTTCTGAATATTTCTTTTCTTGTTCTCAGGCAACCCTGCACGGTTATGTCCTTAGCAATGAAACGGTTGACCCTATTATACCGCAACTTATAAGCGTGGTAAGTCTTGCTTTCTTGTTTTTGTTTTGCTGTTCCCTGCCAGAAGAGCCTTTTTTTAACTTGGTCGATTTTGGCGCACTGGAGAAAGACTGCATAATTCGATTAAGTTATTTGATGAGCTTCGCTGTATGTCGCTAGGATACCGTTTCCCAGGACTACTAGAGAGCTTTAGATTCTGAGACGAGGGCGACTACGAATACGAGATTTTCCTAATACTAAGTATTGCTCAGGCGTAAAGCAGTGTCATTTTGGCGGGAAAACTAGGCTTAGCCGTCGTCATTCTACTACGAGTTTTAGACAGAATGTCGCAGTGGCGGGAACAAGTTATCAAATGTAAGAAGTTTTATCTTTTTGCTATAGGGAGAGGGTTTAACTTGTCCTTCCATATAAATAACCGTACTAACTTTTTTGGTGAAATTTTTTAGAACACTCACAAAAACTATAAGTTAAACCTCGTACTCGTACTCGTTGTCGTCCTAAAATCTAAAGATCTCTATTAACCGTGCGCCTTGTACAACAGGCTCAGTCACGACCATCATCAGTTTATTGAATAAACGGATGCTTGTACTCGAAAAACCAGTTTGACGATTAAAATAAAAAAAGACTGGTCCAGAAGTTCAGGTTGCGGCGACTTGAAAGGCTTGTCCCGAGAACCTCCTTTTCTCCTCCTCGATCAAGAAGAAGACACACGAGGCTTTGCTAGCTGGGTAATGATGCAGTAGTTTCCCAATGAGTAAACCTTGAATTATGCAGTTTGGTTGTGCAGGGGATAGCTGTCAATGTCACATCACGTTCTTGCTGTTTCTTTCTTGCTTCGTGGTACATAATCGGTTTGTTATAATCATCGTAATCTCCAAAAGTGGTTGTCTTTCGGTTGCTAGTAGAGAGCTTTAGATATGAGGACGAGTTCGAGCACGAGTACGAGATTTAACTTAAAGTTTTTGCGCGTGTTCTAAAAAAAAAATACACCCCGGAAAGCTTCTTTTCTACTATTTCTCACTAAAACAGTTAGTACGGTTATTTATACTGAGGGATTTTAGCCCTCTCCCGATCGCAAAACAATGAAACTTCTTACATTTGATAACTTGTTCCCGCCACTTTAAGTAGAACTCTTAGTAGAATGACGACGGCTATCCCGTGCTCCCGCCAAAATGACCCTGGTTCACGCTCAAGCACTACTTGGTGTTGAGAAAATGTCGTACTGGTAGTCCAACTCGTCCTCAAATCTAAAACTCTTTAGTTATTTTCTTTGAATATTTGTTGCTTTCCATAGTTAATGTCCAGCTGTCATAAAAATGATTCTGAAGCCAAGGTTCTCGTCGCTGAATGTATTGGAGAACTGGGTGCGGTTGATCCTGGCAGGTGAGTCTTGAGTCATGCGTTTTTATCTTTATTTACCAGTGCAGTCATTGTATTGAAGTTGTTTGCTTTCTGGAGGTAGAGGAAATTCAGAGGGTAAATGGTTAAACGAAGTGAAATGAATTTTTTACGCAGCTCACGACTAGGAGCGCAGGCGCGTGTTGTCGGTCAGCGGTCATTGGGGTGTCTCAAGCGCGGTCAGCCTTGCTTGCATCAGCTCCATGAGCTAAGTACAGCGTTTTCTGGCGGTCTCTCTCTTCATTTAGCCTTTGGATCATTCTTTTACCCCCCCTTCCGCCTATATTTTTCCACTGATAAATCAATGTGATAAGTGCCTGGTGCCATTGCTTTGGGGATTCATGGCTGGAATAAACGGGTTATCAGCCATGGGGGCGTAACTCTGTCTCATTAGGGGCTGGCTTTCCCAAAAGTGGAAGCCCCTGGACATCCCTAGCACTCACCTCCTCTAAGCAATGCAGTTATTAACGTGAGGATTGAGTTCATCGAATCTTCCAAATTTGTGGTTCCAGTTCTACCAAGTGTTTTATTCCCCGTATTGTTGTTGTTTCATATCGCAGCACTAAATGTGTCTTAGTTTGAGTGTGATTTCCAGCTTGATTTGTTGTCTAATTCGTGGTTTAGGTTGAGTTTAAGCAAGTTTGAGTTTGAGTTCGAATTTGAGGTCGAGTGGGCGCTTTAGCGTGATTGAATTTCAGTTTAGGTTTGATTTCTAATAAGGGACCTTGCGTTTAAGTTTAAGTGGTTTGATTTCGAGTTTAAGTTTCAAGTGGAGCTGGTATTGGCGTTCGAGCTCGAGTCTTAGTTTCACACTGAGTTTGAGTTGGCAGCTGAATAATCATATTGGATCTTATTAAGTACGCTCAGTGCGAAGTGCTTGTACACGTGGCTGTGTGAAAAAAAAAATCATCATCGAAAAAAACTACTTGGCAACTTGGCCGACTTGGCTGACTTCTTGGCCGCAGGAATTAAAAGCGGTGCTTCGGTCAGTGGTTAACTCGAAACGTTACCACATCTGATTTTGAGGCTGGTTTACTAACCACTGGGTCTCATTGTCCTCGTATAGGTTGGATAAGTTGACACATGATCCAGTGGATGAACAAGCTGTTTTTGAGGTAACACTGTCTACAGAACAAGTAGCTATATGTTGATTGTGGGTCGCAATGTTAGGCAGGCAAAACTTCGGATGACTTTAGATCGTGATTTGTTGTCTGTGGCTAAATGTGCATTTTATTGTTGGCACGTATAATTTCTTCCCATTTACGTTCTCAGTTCTTATCTCACATAGTTAACGCTTGACTATTCATCAAAACGTCGTGATATAGGCCATTTTCCCGATGACGATGTTTCTCTACAGCTACCAGAATTCATTTCGTCTTTCAGCGTGCAAAGAAAGTAGTGTCCGATAGCCTGGGGCTAGTGGATTTTGCTATCGGGCTATTAAATACTGCCTTTAACTTGCCCGACGGGCAAGTGATATTTTTTGAGGAATTCGAATAACAGAAGAACTATGAAATCAATTCTGCTACTAAAAGAGTTTTTGGGGCTAGTTGAAATGACGTCTGGGCTAGTAAATGCTAGCCAGAGCTTGTCCAAATGGCAAGCTGTAAAAATGATTTTCTTTGCACCCTGGTTTTTTCTTTCTTATTTAAATTTGTCAATTCCACTGAGGTTTAAAAAACAATAGCCTTAATTTGCACAAGAAAACAGCAAACTGAAGGATTCTGGTAGTTGTGGTAAAATGACATCATCGTGCAATAATTGTCCTATTGTTGTGGTTCTACTGATTGTAGAGTGGATGCGATGACACGGACTTTGCTGTGGAGCTTATAAATCAGCTTGTTCAAGCATTTCTTGCTGCCCACGATACAAGAGCACAGGTATTGCAGTCGGACTTTTTTAAAATGAAAAAAAGAAAAAGATGAAGAAACATTATTCCCTGGCCTTTATGAAAGAAAACTCCCAAACACGCCCTTTATAATTTGTCCCCTGTCTTTTGGAATGGCTATTAATTTCTAGGGAAGGTGTGTTTAAAGGGATAACCATAAAATTATTGTTGATGGGAGGAAATAAAGGCCTGTCTCCAGGGAACGTACCTATCCCCAATGCTTCGTGATTAGTGTGGTTTTAGACTTCACAATTGATTCACAATTGTATCAGCAAGGAGTTTTCAGTCCCGTTAATAATTGGGGCAGAATAAACATGTCGCTGATGTTTGTTTGTTTGTTTTTAAGGTCATTTGAATTAGCTTACAAACATCGAACAGTCACTTACACCTAAAAACGTCAAATATATATATATTTTTCTTCCTTTTTTTCCCTTTAGTTTTTTTTGTCTTCAAGTTTTTATTAATTATGATCAGGTTTTTTGTTTAAGTATTCAGTTCAGTTATCTCAAGGGATCTTGATATTATTTTTTTACGTTTTAGGACTGTTCAGCTTATGCCATCCAAGAAGTACTCCTCACATATGAGTGCAGTGAATCCAAGAAAGATGGGTATGTAAGCGGATCCAAAAGTATGTATATATCGAACGTGGGCCCTTGAGTGGTTATTCCATAGTCCTGGCACTCAGGTTTCAAGATAACAGTGTTGAAAGGTTTTAAACTTTTGAAACCGTTGTTAATGAAGCCTCTTGCCGTGTGAGTATTTCCCTGTGAAAGGTGTTAAATCGGCTACTGGATTTGCCCAACTAGACTTTAAACCAAAGTTTAAGTACTTCAAATATTGTTAATGAATTAAAAACTTCCTTTGTTATGTCGATTCATTTCTTGAGAATTTTATTATTGTTGTGTTTATATTTACCAATGAAGGGCTGGCTATGCTTTGTGGACTAAATTTCCTGAACACATTCAAGAACTGCTCAGACCTCATCTTTATTCAAAGTAAGAAAAGTAGAATCTTTCTTTTTTAGAATTTCTCCTTTCCAATCTCAGCTTACCAGTACGGTTTACTCTTCTGTCAATCAGACTTGCTGGTTGCATCATTTCATATATCGCATACAGGCTCTTTGAAGAACCGGTGTAGCGAATTAAAATTCTCAAATCACATCTTGAAGAATGACTTTACATACTCAAAGGATAAATCACCGCTGTTTCCACCGATCGGTAACCACAATAGCTATCCTTTCAGAAGAGTGTAGGCTCGATTTCCGTCGTCTCCCGGGTCCGGTCTTTGATCCTCCCCGAAGAGAGACGGCTAGACTCGTGACCCGTTGACCTTGTCTGTGACGCAATTGGAAAACTGATTATTTACGCGTCTCCGATGTCACTAGGGCGGGTAGGAGAGAACGCCGGGGACGAGGTTGCGCTTCCAGCCGCTCTTTCGGGGCGATGAGTGCGGGCTCATTTTCCCGAACAGCGGCTGGTAATCGAGCCTAAGAAGAGTGTTTCTCATGTATGAAATACAAAGAGGTGTACAAACCAGTGTTTTCATAATTGTGGAATGTGCTGTCTCTTATTTTTAAACAGATACTTAAGTTCTACCACTCCCAACTGGTCTCGCCTGCCGAAGCCCATCTACAGAAGTGACAAGGGCAGAGTTTTTAATGAGTGGGTCAGCACCTGGACTTCCTACTTGATCACCAAGGTATGCTCTGACAAGCTAAAGGAGCGATATATAACATGCAATTTAGCCAAATTTGTGCCCCATGTATTTGGCCTCTTTATTTCGTGACACGTAAGAACCATCTCTTTGAAAGAAAGGTAATAAACACGGCAAATACAAAAAGGCAGAGATGGGAATTTTTAAAGATTCATCTTTATTGTTTGAAACTCACGTGGAAAACATGATACTTGGGAGTTGTATTTGCTTATCTGAATTTCTTGCATGGTTTTAAAATCATCGTGTTTAATTGAAGATGAGTTGCATCAACCTCCTCAAAACTCGTTTCCTTCATGGTTAGTATATTTTCTTCAGGTTAAAAGGCAAAAACCATCGCATATGTTTCAAGCTTGCAGTAAGATTTTCAAGGTAAGTCCACGTCCGTATTACTGAGTGAACGTGTTGACGATGATGATGTTCATGTCGTAGAAAGTTAGATGTCGGTGTACCATATACTAAGTTGAAAGTGGATCGAACATGTCATTAGTGTCACCTGCGACCTAATCAGTCTGTATTTTTAATTCATTATTTTCACTGTGTTTGTATTTTTTTCATTTGCTTATTTTGATTTAAGCATTATGTGAAAACCGCCCTGTTTCTGCTGCCTCATGTATTACTGTATGTGCTGCTGGATGGGACACAAGATGACTCAGAGGAGGTAGGTTATAGAGTTTCACTTGATGTGCGAAATGTTTTGATGGTGGCTATAAAATACCGAAAAATTCCGAAAATAAGCCCCTCCACGTAGAAGCCCCTCCAAATATAAGCCCCCCCAAACTCGTAACGCAAAAAACCCTCCGTTAAATTGCCCCTCCAAATATAAGCCCCCGGGGGGCTTGTACTTGCAAATTGCCCTCAAATACAAAGTTAAACAAAGCAAAAACGGTAAATTTCGTTCCAACTACAAGGCTAGCCGAATCGAAACACAAATTTCCCTCTGTAGATAAGCCCCTCCGAATATAAGCCCCTCCAAAAATAAGCCCCTCAAAAAGGGCCTTTGAAAAATATAAGCCTGGAGGCTTATTTTGGGAATTTTATGGTAATTCGATTATTTCCGTCGAAGGAGGTAAAGCCCTCTCCCGATCGCTAAATGATAGACCTAAATTCCTAACATTTGATAACTTGTTTTCGCCACTACGACATTCTCGTTAAAACTCGTAGGACGATGGCTACGATGGCTATTTCATTTTCCCGCCAAAATGACGTTGGTTCGCACGCGCCCACTACTTAGTATTGGAAAAATTTCGTTCTCGTAGTCGTCCTCGTCTTAGAATGTAAAGCTCTCTAATATTAGTAAAATCCAACTAGTGGTCCATTATCCATGCTGCGTTCTGATTGGTTAAGCTACTACTAGGCTTTATATTATAGCCCACTAGTAGCGAAAAGTGCGGGCTTTTTGGCGGCAAAAAAATTAAAGGCTCGCTTTAACTAGCTAAACTTCTTTTATTCTCGATATTTGACCTCCCGAGCCGACTGATGATCTCAACCCCATTTCACTTGTAGCCTATAGCATATTTAACAATTATTCCTCGAGCCCTCATGGCCTCTGAGTCAATAGCCCATTCGGCCTTCAGCCTCATGGGCTATTGACTCAGAGTCCATTTGGACTCGAGGAATAATTGTTAAATATGCTATAGGCTACAAGTGAAATGGGGTTGAGATCATCAGTCGGCTCGGGAGGTCAAAGGCAAAGTTCGTTTTCTTTGTTTAAAAACACACAGTGGCATCCTAAGGGTGAAAGGTGAACAAGTAAAGTGTAATTCCTGACTATTTCCCAGTAGTTGTGACTGGACGTTTTCAAGTACTCCAAGACATCCAAGAGATACCTCCTTGCTGGTTTCTCGCAAACAAAAGCTGCGCTTCTTTAACAATATACGTAATATACGTGTTCTTTACCTGTCGTTACCAGGTGTACGTGGAAATTATGGCCGTTCTTACTCACCTTCAAAGGAATGAAGAACTGCCAGCACCATCATCTGGTAAGCTAAGCACCCTTTTTTTTTTCCTAAAAAGAAACCTAGCGGCTTTGCTGTTGTTAGTTGTGCAAAACAGCAGTGAGTTGCACCGGCACCACCACCAACAACGAATTTTAAAGACTTTTCCACGATTGTGTTGTTTTTGCTTTAGATTGTTTGTGGGCTTTGATTACTTTTTTTGGGTGGGTGGGGGAAGATCCGCCATTCAAACATTTTAGGTTAATATTTTTAGAGTTTATTTTCGAAGGTATTTCAAATGAAAGGAGTAAAATCTGCTGACAAGGTCAAGTGCATAGTTTTCCGCGGTGAATGTTGTCGCTAGTTATCCCATTTGTTTCTAGATTTCCGTCAAATGAGCGCCCAGACAGTGTTCTCAGCTCTAGACTATTTAAAGCGTTGGAGCAGAGCGAGGGCTCACAGCCTGGCAGTTAAAACACAACTGCTTTCATCAAAGGGACGTGCCGCTGCATCCATATCAGGTAGAATTAGGTACTCTTTCGCAGAGTAATGTAGTTTTATCCCATACGTATCTTGTACTGTAGAATCTAGGCCTATTTTAGAGGTATATACATAAGTCATCGGAGCGAACCAGTGCTTGCATCTACCCACCTATATGCACCAACAGAATGATTTTTGACAACGGGGCTTGTTTCATCTTGTTCTTTATAAATATGCCGATCAATCCAATAATTTCAATTTGTTTTTTTGTGACCTTACACTTCTTTACTCTAGCGTTTGTTATCATAATTGACCTGCCACACGTTTATGGTTTTAATTTCGTAAGTCTCAAGGCCCTTGCGGGGTCTTTGGTTCCTCTTCTCTTTCCACCGCGAAATCCGCTGTTATTTGCTTCAAAGACCTTACTCAAATTCTCGCAGATCCCAAAAGACAGGCTCTTTTGCTAATAATTCCAGGTGATGTTCCATTTGTGGGATTGCTAACTCATTATCGTTATCGTTATCATTATCATTATCATTATCATTATCATTATCGTTATCGTTATCATTGTGAGTATCATTATCAGTATCATTATCAGTATCAGTATCAGTATTGGTATCAGTATCATTATCAGTATCAGTATCAGTATCAGTATCAGTATCGGTATCTGCATCGGAAACAGTACTAGTATTAACACACCAACACTATCACTATCACCATAATCATTGTCATCGTCTTTAAAATTGTTATTGTTATTACTATTCTTTGTCCTCTAAAGAAAGTTTGGATGAGCACAAGTCAGTTGAAAATTTTCTGGAAAAGATTCCACAGGTAAATATTTTAAATGCGTTTACATCACCGCTAATATTAAACATTTGCGTTAAGAAAATATGATTTCTTTTGTGACCAATTACCTTTGTTGCGATTTCAATTTTTCTTCTGTTTTTTTTTTTTTCTGCCTGTGCGATCTTCTTTTTGTTTAGGACGTCTTGGCTTATGCGTCGTTTCACTGCAAGGCTTATGCTCGAGCCCTGATGCACTTTGAAGCCTTCGTTTCAAGCCAAAAACAGGATATACAGCAACACCTAGGATTTATTCAGAAGCTGTATATAGCTCTAGATGAGCCTGATGGCGTGGCTGGTGTAGCAGCGAGCAGAAAACGACAGCCGACTCTGCATGAACAGATTCTAGATCAGAAAAGTTCTGGTATGGTAAATAATTCTCCGACTTGTGAGATTGCTGTAGACTGCGAACAAAGTGTTTTTTCTCAGGCTGGCGCCCTGTTATTTTTGCATCTCCCCTCGCGTTCTACGCATATTATCCCGATAATACAAAATTTACTTGTAATAACCAAAGGTTACGGAGTGCGGGTGATAACGATCGAAGGTCAAAACGCTTTTGCTCCATCACTGTGCTAGTGTGCTTTGCGTAAGCTTCACGTGACAAGTAGTCAAAAGACGCGTGATCAGATTACGTGTGATAGAAGGTCCAAACGCGCGTGATCCAATTGCGTTCTTTGCATTCCATTCATTCTTAACATCTTATTAAAACTTTATTTAAACTCGAAGGGTCCATAACAAGAATGCTGACACTACATAAAAACTATATAGCGATATATATGCAAACGAATGCTGGCAACATACAGGCGACGCATGCGTAGTAACAACCTAGACATTAGGATTGCGGGCTCCTCTTGTCGCCCGCAACTACAAACAAGAGACTGTAATCAGTGGAAGCTCTCATAAGTGGACATCCTTGGGACGCGGAAAAGGTGCCCGTAACTGGAGCTGGCGGCCGCCTACGGGAATGTAAAAATACATAGTTTGTATGGGAGTTCAGAAAAAGGGGTTTTGTGAAGGCGGAGGTAATTAGAGCTGTCCGTTTACGAGAGTGTCCGTTAGGAGTGCTTCCCTTGTTGACGTAAAGTGAACAGCCCTTTTGGCAAGTTTTTGTCATACTCTATTTCGTTTTAGTTGATTTTTACTTTCATATAGTCCTAAAGTGTGACGTCATAAAAAATAATTTGTGAAATTATGGGATTTGTTGCGATATTATAAAAGAGCAACATCTAAAAGGCCTACTTGCCAAAATTAGCATTCCAGGGCAATTAATAGCCCAGTTATGCTCTGATGACTCCATGCAAATCCTTCTAAATCTGACTTAGTTCTTGTATGGAGCCATTAGAGCAAAGTGGGACTAGTATCTCCGAGGCAATTTGCCCAACAATGTTAGTTTTTGGCAAGAAGGCCTTTAAGATGTTGTTCTTTCAATATATCACAACAAATTCCATAATTTTTATGACGTCATCTTTTTAGAGCTCTATTGTTAACTTTTTAATTCGTTAAAATTCGCATAAGTGCTTAATTATTATTGTTATCATCATTATCATCATCATCATCATCATTATTATTCTTATTCTTCTTATTATTATTCTACGTTTATTCCAGGAAAACTCTGTGATGCTTCAGCTCGTTACGAAAGAGCAATCCAAGAAGAACCAAATGAGATTGGACATCACAAGGTGACTGGTTGTAATGTTAGTTCTTTTATGGGAAAATTAATTTTGACAAAAGCGTCATTTTATGAAGCTATAAACCAAACAAGAGTTCTAATCTTCATTGGTACGTAATCTTTGTTTTAGAAGAGATAAAGAGGTCCCGGAGAAGTGTTGGTCAATAATCGTTGAATATTTTTAGAGTTCTTAACGCTAGTTTGTGTATAATTATGTTGTATTTCAAATAATTTATGTATTAATTTTGTCCAGGGTATCGTATTTTCCTTTGTATCAAACTTATTATCGTACTCCAAACCAAACTACTCCTTCTTTGAAATTTCGTTACTTACTGTCATTCAACAAAATAATAGGTCTCACAATCTTAGAGGTTTAATCTATCTGAAAGCTAATTTCTCTTTTGCGTAACTACATCCCCTCCCCCCGCGTTGGGTTAAATTCGGTTCCTAATCTTAGGTGAGGGTCATCTTCATAAATACCGGTACTTTATTTTCATAACTTTTGGCTCATGGGAAAAAACGAGCATGTGAAAACTTGGTTCACTGGAAGACACGACAAAATAAGCTGGTCAGCCCTTTTAGAACCTTGCGGTTTTATTGGCGATGATTTCTCCTTATTATTTTATGACCAGGGTCTGTTGCAGTGTCTCATTGATCTGGGTCAAGTCACCACAGCGCTTATTCATGTAGATGGCGTAGTCACACGAAGGTTTGTTGTCATTAAACACTGTGGCTAGTCCAACTTATTAAAAGACCGTGAGAGACCAATCAGGTTATGCGCTTAGTTGATTGACATTTTTGTCTCCGTGAGTTGAATGTTGCGACCTCATAAAATTATCATTTCCAATTTTATGATCGTTACGATGGTAGTAATGATGATAACTGTAATGATAATGATGACTGTCATACCCAACTTCAAGGCTTCTTAGTGAATAAGAGGGTATTACTCATGCGTAACTTTTGAGGAACGACAAAAATATCCAAAGTATCCAGACCGAAATAGACCATATTTGCACCTACTGGATACTTTGTTCTGATTGAAAATATTGGCTCCTTTTTAATGTTGCGTTGCATTTAGATCTGAATGGGAACGATCGTTGAATGCGTACCGTGTGGAGGCCTCCTGGAGGCTGGGACAGTGGGACTCATTGGAGAGTTACCTGAAACTGGTATGACTAATAACACGACTTTGCTTATTTACTAGGAATTCATGGTGTTCTATATAGCTGGTAATAGTCCATTCAGCCTTAGGGGACACTCTTATCGGCGGAGAGCTAAAGCAACAACGTTTTACCAAGACGATATAAGAAGGACCTTTTTAGGGGATTATCCTGCTTATTCACCATTTTCATATAGACCATAAAGCACCTTCAATGGAGGACAAAAATCCTTTGAACGGTTATTGAAAACCTTCCTTCCACATCCGTAACTTATCAAATATTCAGATGTAGCATAATATGCACTTCTCTAACCGTTTGGCTACCGCGAATCGCTCTCCCCTCCCCCCTCCAAACAATGTTGGGATGAACAAACACTTTTAGGACAGGGTAAAGTGTACGGGGGTGCACAAACTACAACACTGCTTGGGGACGAGGGGGAAAGAGGGAAAATTGTGTTAATTGTCCTAAGAAATTTGTCCACCATTGTTGTTTACCTCCCCCACCCCCTCCCCTCAAATTTCGCATAACAATTGTCTTCGATGTGTCTTAACGACTGTAATACCCAGGAGAAATCGAAAACAATGGTTATGCAAATTTTAGGGGGTACACGAGGTGGGTAATGGTCTATTTACAAATGGTGAATAGCAAGCTCCAGAAACGGTCATTATTTCTTGTTTTTTCGAGGATGTCACATTACGGATCCTTCAAATGTTTGGAAACCCAAACCCCAACCCTCTTCTCAATGTCCGCTTGTTGGTATAAGCAGCGTGTTTTTTAAACAGAGCACAGATTAAATGTAGTTTACAATTCACACTGTTGTTACAATTCTTAACTGATATTTTTTGCCATTTTGTCAATAGGAAAGAGGTGTTGGTGATTGGGATGTTGGTTTGGGACGAATTTTGGTAGCTGTAAAAGAAAAGGTTAGATCTCACTGATTGTGTATTAGTATGTGTAATCAAATGGTGACGAGTGAAATTAGGGAATAATTTCACGCGCGTTTTGCCCAATTATTAGGATTTGGACAAAACGCAAGTGAAATTATTCCCTAATTTCACGAGTATACCATTTGATTATCTATTAATATCATGGTTGACGAATTACGTTAGCTATCTTGGATTTTTGAGATGTTCGAGTCCCGGTTCGTATCGATCGAGAACTCCTGCACACTCTCGAACGTTTAGAGCTTAAATTTGGCTTAAGTTCAGAGTTTTTCGACAAAATACCTGTTGGAATCCTTCTTGATGTGCTCTTTCGTGTGTTCAGGTTTTCTAAAGCGTCTTTTTCTGCCCTGACATCTTCATTCATGACATTTTAAAACTTCGTCACCATCTTGACGCTGAGGCGTACGTTAGGTTGCCATGGCAATTTTGTAATTTGACATGTAAAATTACAAATAAACGCTGAAATTTCGCGCCAAAATTAAGGAGTAATTCGTCACCTATGATATTTTAAATATTAGTATCAGCGTAACGGGATGGGTCAAGGCAATGCCTTTTTGAACGCAAATGATCAACGATTCTGATTCCTCCACTAAATAGAACTTTCGGGTCAATTTAGGTTTCTGGGAAACTACCCACCTACCCCTCCCCTAAGCCATCATTTTGCCTTAGGTAAGAAGTAAGTTTTAATTTTAGCTAAGGGGAGGGGTAGGTGGGCAGTTTCCCAGGAACCTGAATTGATCCGAACTTTCCTATTTCACGTTTGTACTCAGGGACGGTAGTTGGTCATTGAACGTTCGCCATTTTAGAAAATAGAAGGTAACCGGGGCGAGTTAACTTTCGCAAAGACCTCTGGGGCTGTTACTGGGGATAGGAAAAAGAATTGACATGCGCGTACCCAGTAACGATCCCATAAGTCTTTGCGAAAGGTAATTCGGTCCAGTCTCCTCGTTTCTTCAGTGTCAATTAGGAACCATTGTCAATACTTAAACAGTACCTCTGCTGTTTATATTTGTCCTAGAATGAGGCTGAATTTCGACACCAGTTGAAGGTTGTTCGCAGTCAACAGATGGGCTTCCTGTCTGCTGCAAGCATGGAGTCTGGTTCCTACCAACGGGGATATGAGCATATTGTCAGGTACCCTTTAGTGCAAACGTCGCGAAAACACAAGGGATAATTTTGCAGGGGCTTGTCTCTTTTTGTGTTGGACGCTGCTGTCAATCCGTTAAGACGCCATATTATTGCAAGGCAGAGGTCCGATATGTCCAACAAACCCTTTCCTCCCCGCAAGATTATTAAAACTGTCGAATCAGCTTTGGTTAAGTAAAACCTATCGCGTTTAGTTCAAACAGATCCAGCACTACAGTATAATCAATGTTGGGCGATGAACGGGCTAACAATGTTGGATTGTTTTGGACCAATGTCGTTAGATGAAGTTGAACAACCAATGCTTGATTATGTTGGATCAACAACATTAGGTGATGTAACATTAACAAATAAAGCGATTTTAGATGATATTAAAGGCCTACACTATTGGTCCAAGAAGTGTTGGATAATGTTGAACCAGCACTGTCGGGTTGACTCGGGTAACGTTGGACCAACAATTTTGAGTGATGTTGGACCAAAAATGTTGGGTGATGTTGGAGCAACAATGTTGAATGATGAAACTGTTGCTTTAAGCCTGTTTTATTCTTGATTTGATTATTACGAGTGTTTTCATGAAGCCAAGCCTGTTATTTATCCTTTTAGATATTGAAAGCTAATTTTATTTTTCTGTTTTCTTTTTATCTTCATGTAAAGGCTTCACATGTTACGCGAGCTAGAGGAAGCTGTACAGAGGCAGTTTCTAGTGTCAGATGCTGCTGCTCCTACAACAACAGGTGTTGCTAAAGACTGGGAGTCACGTTTGCACATCTCACAGGTTAGAACAATTCTCGAATATAATGTCATCAGGCGTAGTTTATAGTTGTTGCGTTGTCTGGTTCTCATATGCCGTCGATGCACCTGCGACATGGCCGCCAGTACTGTCTGGGATACTGTTCCGATATAAGAACAGAAGTGGCCGACAACATTGGTCATCCCAGTCTTTATCGCCGGCATGCCGGCGGTAAAGCTCTGTGATGGCTCTATTTGCCGGCGGCGCATGTTCTCATTCGTCCGGGAAGTAGCTCAGATGGTACCGACGGCTACGTCGCAGATACATCGGCGGCATATGAGAACCAGGCTTTACTAGTTATCGGTCTGTAACAGGTATCCATCAGGCTGTAAAATGACGATAATTAAGTGAAGCTTATAAAACGACGTCACGTTTTTTGAGCTTTGTATTATGTATTAGTTTTTGATTAATTGATTGTATCTTGTATTGTTCGTGCTGAATGACTCGTTTGGATTCGTTAAGAGTTGTTTCTTTCTTCTTTTCTTTGACCCGAAAATCCTATTTCCTATTTACTGATACAGTTGTGCGAAGATGTAAACTTTGAGTTTGTCATCTTTCTTTAGACGTCTTTCCGTACAAGGGAGCCGATCCTGAGTTTAAGACGCATTGTTCTGAAACTCTTACAAAGGTAATTGAGTTTGTTTTTCTTTATTGTTGACAATTCACCTGGGCTGTCTACTTGTATTATCTTCATCTCCCTAATCCGTATAAGAGAGGAGGGTTTTCAAATCTGAGGAAAAAACCGTATTCATGTTGTTTCATACACGGTATCCTAGAAAGCACATTGAAGGAAGTAAAAATGCCTAATTAAGCCAAAACTTCTTTTACCTGGCATATTTCTAGCTCAGAGGAGCTGCAGAAAGAACAAGGTAAAAGCTGGTTACAGAGCGCCAAAGCGGCCAGGGCGTAAGTATTGTTTACTCGCTTTAGTCATGTTATGATTAACCGGAAGTAAGAACAGGGAGGAAAAATATAATAAGGTAATGATGAACTCAAGAAGGATTGATCCAAAACAAGCATAACCGGCTTAAAATTCCGACAGGAGGCAAATCATTTGGCTATTGAAGATTCGACGAAGTACCCTGGAGTTCAAGTGTGACAAGCTGATTATTCAGTAGTCTGTTCCAGACGTTAAGATAGTGTGGGTTGTGCGTGAAATGAATAGAAAAATATGTTCACTTCTCTTCACGCTGTCCCCACTATCTGACTGTTGCAAAAGCCTTACTATTTACCCAGGCTGTTTAGTGCGCTACAAGTGGAGTCAGTACACGTTTCTGGTAGGACAATGATCTTACTGTTGTTCTGAATGTACGCCGAAACGTCTTGCAGCGATCTTTGAAGAGTGTGTCATTCCTCTTTCCTACAGGGCGGGTCACGTGCAAACGGCTGATAGTTCTCTACTAAGTGCCAGTGCATTTTCCTTACCAAGTCTGTGTATTGAAAGAGCTAAATGGATGGCGAGTCAGGTACGATCATAAAAGGAACGCAGTAATAATAATGCGCTCACTGCGAGTCTCAGTTGACAGGATAATGAAATACGAACCTAGTATATGGCCTCGCTCTCCATGAGTTCTCCGTAGCTCAGTGGATAGAGCGCCTCCCCGGTGTTTGGGAGGTCATAGGTTCCATTTCTGTCGGGGACTCAGATTTTTTTCTTTGTCTCACGCTCGTGACATGCTGATTATTTCATCTACACAGGATAAACACCTCAACCCTCGTATAAAAAATACAGACCTTGCAATTTGTTATACCTCTCGCGTATTTCTTTACCCTTGTTTATGTGCCCATGTTTGTTTCGTCCGTTCAGGGCGATGTTCATCAGGCGTTGATCAGTCTACAAAGAGCAGTGAGGTAGGGATTATCGTCGCCTTCATCATCATCATCATGATCGTCACAATTATCGTAATGCATTGTGTTTTAGTTTTAGTTTCGTGTTTGTTTGTTCTTTATTCATTGTAGTGAAAAATGGCCTGATGGTGTTAAAAAGATGGCCAGCAGTGGTGGTGCAGAGAGATTTATCCATGCAAAGGTTTGTATTGTTTTGAGTACTATTTTCGTCGGCCTTTTTTCCGCAAGGAGGCAAAATAAGCGTCGTATGTTCAATTTTGTGGTTTTTCTCATAAGTGCTTCAAGTTGCTTTTGAAATTTGTTAGGGTGAGTTACCTTTGACTTTTGTGACATTTCCAGACCAAAACGATTATACACAAGCTAACATATGAGATGACTATTTACTGCTATGTCGCTTGTTGCCTTTTAATTTAAGCATGCATGTCATGCGTTGACCATTATTTATTTGTTTACTTATTCATTCATTTAGGCATCGTTCACTCTTGGTGCCCGGGCACGGTGCCCAAGTACAGTACCCACTGGGCACCAATGTGAACACACTCTTTTTTCAAGCATACCCACGCTAGAATTCGGGCACGGTGCCGGTGTCCACTTGCAAGGTCTCGATCTTGTGCTCGAGCACGAAAGTGGACACCGTGTCCCTGTGTGCAACAATTTTTGTAAGCTCCGGGCATTCCACTGCTTTGTTCTCGCTGCTCAGTTCATGCTTCAAAATGGCGTCTGACAGGGCGGAAATGGAATAACTATGTACACAGTCAGTCACATATTAGGCACTCAAAGTGTGAACGCAACACAATTTTGTGCCGGTACCCAGGTACTGGTTCCCGAGCACCAAGTGTGGACAGCCCCTAAGAGTTACACACCGGATACTTAAGGTGTGAACACAACACCGTTTTGTGCCGGTACCCAGTCACTGGTTCCCAGGGACCAAGTGTGGACAGTCCCTTATTCCTTAATTTATTTGTCCTATTTCAGGCACTGCTTCTTATAGGCAGGTGGATGGAAGAAACAGCTTATTATGAACCCAACAGGGTCATTCAGCAGTACAAGGTAGTACTTCTGTGACTCGCAAGCCATTAACACCAGATTCCTTTACTAAGTAGTGCGCGCGCGTGAACCAGCGTCATGTGGCGGGAAAACGCGATAACCTTCACCATTATTCAACCGGATTTAACGAGAAGTCGTAGTGACGGAAACAGGTTCGGGAACGGGCTCAACATTTAAAAAATAACCGTATTAACTTTACTGGTGAAAAAAGTAAAATGAAGCTTTCCAGGATGCATAATAATAAGTCAAATTTCGTCTTCATGGTTGTCCTCGTACTCGAAACTTAAGGTCTCTGTCAACCCTTGAAGTTCCAATAGTGACCAATACCAATTTTCTCCTAACGATATCCAAAGATTGTCGAGAGATTAGGTTATGAGAATTTATAAAATTATCAGTAAAGAGAAAATGCCTTGATCTTTTATTAAATTCTCTCAACACATTCTTAAAGAAAATGTATAGAGATCAGTTTGGAGAATTTGTATGTGGATATTAGGGCGTAAAGTGTAAATCGTAAAGATGCCGATATCAATTGGCTCCTAAGAATATCAATAAGTAATACAGAGAAAAGAGATAACTGATAAAATGATAAAGTGACCGCGAAAAGGAAAATGCTCTTTAGGGAAATTTACGAAGATCGGTTTGGAGGGTTTGCTTGAACTTGTTTGGACCAGAAACATAAGATTGTAATTAAAGGTTGTTGAGATAAACGGGGTAGTTGAAAGGCAAGGTGCAACTGTTCTTTAAATGGTAAAATCAGTTCAAATTCTTCTTCGTCCTTGATCAAGTCCTGTTCTTTTTAGTTGAAATTTCACTACGTTTTTCTTTTCTTTGACAGGAAGTAACAACTCTACATAGCAACTGGGAAAATGGTCATTTTTACTTAGGAAAGTACTACGACAAACTAATGGCAAACTGTACCGACGGAGAAGAAAAATCCAGCAAACTTTCTGTGTAAGAAACCTTCTTTAAACGGTTATGTCTTACTTGTGCACATGGTCAATGCAAGCAGTAGAGAGAAGTGTGACGTCATGTTACCGTGGAAGCAAATTTCTCGATCTTGACAGCCATTTACATTCCAGAAATTTTGCTACCATGGCAACGTGACGTAACGACGTTTCTTCTCTATTTCTTCAAGGGTTTTGTATTGTCATGTCCTTTGAAGGATCTGTATCATGGAATTTGGGTTATTTCATAGGCCACAAGGTCCTGGCTACCAAATTGATCAGAACGTAAATATATCCCAAAAAATCTCAGTAAAGTAACAATAATTATTACAAACTGAATCATTGGATAATGTAATTCTAGAGATCTGATTGGCTTAGCCATCATGGTATATGAGCCATTATTCCATGCTCTCCAAATATCGTAACTGTACGCGTCTGCTAAAAATTAAAAACAAGCTGAAAATCGGTTGTTTTAATTTACAAATAAAGTCGGGAAGAATTGTCGACATTTTATAGGCGTTTTTAATAAAACAATTATTCCACTCGCGCTTGTCGGGTATGATATGATTTTAGCCAACTCGGCGCTACGCACCTCGTTGGCTATTTACCGTCTCATATCCAACGCGCACTCCTGGAATGATCGTTAATTCAAGAAGATCAAAACGCATTGCAATTGGGGCTTTTGAACACGGTTTGTCCTAATAGTTCTCCAGTTTTGTTAGCATAATTTAAAATAACATTGACTTTAAGGGTTTCTCTGGATGGTCACGAAACTGCAATTTTGTCATTCCATCGCTTTACTCTACCCCCGAATAAATTCTCTTTGCAGTGACTTTATACCGTTTGTTCTGAAGCATTATGGCCAGTCTCTTCAGTTTGGTAACAAGTTCATTTACCAGTCAATGCCGCGCCTTCTGACCATTTGGTTGGACTTTGGTGCTACTGTCTCCGACCAAGGTAAAGGAAAATTTCCCCGCCCCTACCCCCTATCCCTTCCTCATTCACAAGCTTATAAGGTGGCTCCGCATAAGTATTCCTCACTTGGTCCTTCATTGTAAAGATGAAGTCGAGGAAGTGACGCAAGTGGGTGGTAACCTTTCTTGGTGCAGTGGAACCTCGATATAACGAAGGGCCAAGCGACTGGCAAAATTTGTTGGTTATATCGAAGTTTGTTTTTCATATATTTTACCATTGCTGGGTTAAAGAAAATCGTTCGTTATACCGAGGTCTTCGTTATATAAAGTTTCGTTACATCGAGGTTCCACTGTACTTGCTCGGTTCGGAATTGAGTGATGCGGGAAAGAGGATTGGGATAGGATTGCGTTGGACAATGACAGACCAATTCGCATTGTTCATTTTAAAATAAAATAATGTGTTAAATGTCTTGTACTCTTGCAAACGATGTAAAATTGTGCTAGTTTAAGAGAAATAAGTGCTGGCCCTGTTATGTGATAATAGAGAATGTTACCATTGACAAGTAGTGTGACGTTGACATCGTTTTTACCCATTGAGCACACTGCGAAATCGTTCTGCGCAGCTGCGCGTTCTCAACTCATTACGGACTTTCTTCTTTCTCTCGTTGTCAATGCCAACATTCTCGATTGTGAGGGTTGATGGAACAGCGAAGGTGCAATGTCTCTTTTTTTTCAACTATAAACAGATAATCAATACAAATGCAGCATATCTCCCAGCTAAGCCTTTGACTTTGTTTAGGACGCCTTGTTGATTGTAATAACTGATTTTGAAGAATTCAACCGAAAAAAAGAATATTACACTTGTTGAATTCGGCCTTGTAATATTACTTTCAGGTCGCCAGACGAAATCTTCTGACAGAGGAGGAAAACGCCAAAAGTTAGCGGATTTTAATGAGGTCTGTAATTTATTCCAGCGAGTTTTGATTACGTTGTTACGAATGAGAGCTGTCCTAAAACGTTAGTGTTTTAGTTCAGTTTAAAGTTTTTTGCCTTAGGTTATAATCATCATCGTCAGCATCATCATCATCTTCATCGTCCTTACCTTTATCGTCATCATCATCATCATCATCATCATCATCATCATCATCATCATCATCGCCATCAGCGTTATTAAATTGCCTCACATTTAGTATATTTTCTCTTAACGTAATAGATTATGGCAGAGTTGACCAATAAACTTCCTCCGTACCAGTTTCTCACGGCCTTCTCTCTGCTCATCTCACGTATTTGTCATGCAAATCAGACAGTCTTCAATCAACTCGAGGTAAGATTTTCAGTGTAAGCTTACTATGAAAAAAAACTCTGATATCTTTGGTTTCATTCCACAGCTTTGCACCCTGGTTCGATCCTTTCGTTCGTTATCTTTGCACTTCGCTTGGTCAACGATTTTCAGTCCAAGTCAATGATGTTTGGTGACTATTGTACGTGTTACTCCGAGTTGATACAAAATGTACAGGAAAATGAAAATGAATATGAAAAATAAACTTATCCATGATATCTCACATGTAACGCAAAGGCTTCTAATTTTCAGCGTCCGTTGCAATCCATTGTTAAGATTAAAATTTCCAAACTTTTAACCGCTCTTTCAATTCCTGCTTGAATCATTTATTCAGAAACTAATGTTTTGTTTTTTTTTTTGGCATTTTCATATTGTTGATCACTTGAGCAATTATTGAAAAAAGATTATTTTCATGCTGATCTTCAACCTCTCAACACTTCTCCTTACTCTTTGTCTATTGCCAGGAAATCATCGCCAAACTTCTGATTACATACCCTCAACAAGCAATGTGGATGATGATGGCTGTCTCTAAGGTAAACATAAGGCCTGCGTTGCTGGCGGTTATTTTGGTGTGTCTTTTTCATTTGTGATTCGCCCCCTCCCCCAGTTTTGACTACGCCTGTTAGCCGGAAGCGGGTGTTTTTTCTTACCAAATTTTCGGGCAAATCGTCTCTATGAAAATATAGACGCTTGGCAATCCAAATTTGGTAGCATCAAGGCGTATTAATAGGGAAGAGTCCCCAAACGCATGACTAAAATTTATATTTTCAGACTAAAAACATTTAAAAACTTGTTTTGATTTATGTTATAAGAGGGTGTATGATTACTTATTAGGAGATTTTTTTTTTTATGAAAACGGGTACGTTTCGTGGATAACCGAAATCAATTTAGCAGCATGTTGAAGAGAAAATGACAAGTTTACAAAGTTGCTTTTCTTTAATTAAAATTAATATTAATATAAAATTGCACTTAACAATGCATTTTGGGTAAATACCCTATCATCGATTTGAAATTCATAGTTACACAATTTTCGTTAAGGAATAAGCAATTCATATATATTATGTTTTCTACGAAAACGACAAAGGAAAGATGAAGTTGGTGATAAAGAGTCTTCACATGATGTTTAGAAAATAAGTACACAGAGCCAAATCCCACCATAATAGTCAAATTTCATGTCGTCAGTAGTCTGAAATGAAAAACGAACCAGTGTAGTGTTAGTGAATTATTGAAAGTTCCTTTATATCATCACGAAAACACATGCCCAAATCCTTCGATTGGGAGGCACATGAAACAACATGGGGTTGAGAAATCAACTCTCGGAACAATTTTTCGAACCTCAAAAAGTGAAGGAATGATGCGGTGATCCAGAAACTCAAACCCAAGCCAAACGTGCAATCAAACTTAATTCACGCGAAGCTTTACTTTTAGGACATCTGCGTAATGATCAAGCATACACGAATGCCGTCTAATGAATTCATATCTCAACTCTTTTTCACTCTTCATAAGATGTTAAGAATGACGAAAAACGTTACTTTCTAGCAATCGCCTGAAGCTATCTCCACGACTTTTCACAGACTTTTTAAAGAAGATTGAAACTACTCAGTAGTCAGAGGTTAAATTGCATTTAAAAACCGCTTCGATTCAGTTCTGCAGCTAACGACCGAACATAAAAATTGTCCAGTTTTTACCGTATTTCTAACCATAAAAACTTCATCCCTTTGATAACGCTCTTACAAACCTAAACCGAGGTGGCTATTGGAGAAAAGAGTTCTTGTGAAGAAGTGCCGAGAAATACGTCTGCAAGTAAGATAGGTAATAATGGTGTCATTTCGTTGTTATGACAACTCCGATGTCATTGTAACTCCGATCATAACAAATTTTTATCTTTATCTAATACAGCTGCGTAATTTATGTTCAAAATTGTTATGTATCGACCCTGAAAGAGCCCATCGAGCCACCTTAAGCTCCCTGTTATGAGAATAAGGTACCGTCAATAAGGCATTGCAAAATTTTTGAAACCGTATTTTTTTTTACCCGGATTCGGACGAAGCCTTAAAAGCACAGTGGACTGCGGTTTCTGTTAGGGGATTCATTTGACTGGTGTGGACGCGGGAGGCCGATTTGTTAAAAAAAAATGCATTAAAAAATACGGATTCGTGTGGGCCGGACCTAAGTGAATGAGAACACGAATGCTGTTTCAGAACTTGCCTTTAAATAATTAGTTATTTTTCTGCTGCTCAAGCTTGGCCAGTCGATCCTTTATAAAACCCCGATAAGGAGACATGAGAACTCTCATTGGATATGGCTGTGTTGGCCATCCCACTCTTGATCTTCGTCTCCGCATCTTTCGCTTTCTCCTCCTTCGTTTATTCACCTTCTGTTGACGAACGATTTTCATTATAAAGTAAACAGCATAGGATTGTGTGAAGTGAATCGTTAAGAGAAAAAGCTAATGTCACCTTTACTGAACTTTGTGGTCTTTAATATTTTCAAGATCTACTTAGGCTTTTTTAGTTGCTTACTTTGGCCATTGCAATGCCTCTTCCAGTTGAGGAATGTGCAGTCTTTTGGGAGTGTTGACTGGTCACAGGGCTCTTTTCAGAAGCAGTTCTCTCCACAGGCATGGAACTTTCCTGAAATGAGTTGGATATAGCAAAGTGTGAATATATAGGACGCAATGATTGCGAAAAACGTTAAAATCCCGCTTTACGGACGAACACGAACTGATGTTGCGGTAACTATTGGAGCTATTGGAGGAGTAGGTATCTGCGCAGTTGGCCTGTGCGCGGCCTTCTGTGCTGAGGTCCCGATTTCGGCACGTAGTTTTGACCTTAGATCCTTTCGTTTCCGTAGTTAGCTTTCAGTAGCCTTAGATTCCCGTAAAACGGAGCACTTACGGAGAAGGGGCAGGGGGGAGGGATAAGCGCACCGTTGGCCTCGGGTTGGTTAGTGTGATGAAATCTATTTCGAGCTATGGACTTGAATCAAGGAAAAATAAGGACGGTTTACCTCTTTTCGCCTTTATCGTCGCCGTGTTGCATTCATTATTTGACGTGAGGTCCTCAGTAGCGCCTGCTTCCAGTGACTTAGAGTTTTTCTGATGAGGTTTTTGAGTGATAAGTGACAGTGCCGGTTCGAAAAGTAACTGGAGTGAAGATAGCGATTCGGTGGAGCCAGAATGATTTTCCTGCACAGCCGGCCTTGCCATTTCACAGTCAGACTCTACAGGTGAAGACTGACCACAAGGTTTCAGGTCAGCGTTCAGGAACGACGTGGAAGAAAACGACTGCGTCATTGCGGTTGGAGTTAGTGGCAAGTTTATAGGAATGGGCTCCGGAATTTCAATAATACAGGATTTTGCTGTAAAGTGTTTAGAAGGGATTGTGACTGTCACTATAGGCATCACAGTGGACGAGTTAGCAACTGGGTTTATCAGACTCTCTTCCTGTGGGATTCCGACCTCAGGATCTTTGCGGCTGCAGCACCTCTTACATCTCTTTCTGTGGAGAGACAGTGTAAAGGATAAGTAGTTTACACGAGATGCCAACATATCATCATTATCATCACCGTCACCCTTATCGTCATCGTCATCGCCATCACTATCATCATCATCCTCATCCTCACCCGGCCTGTCCGCATAATCTCCCATATGGTGATCCTACCTATCACATAAACGTGGTCAAATTAAAGAGAGATTATGTGGGCAGGTGGGTTACCTTACGTACTCGGTGTCCCCCACCTCCATATAAACAGGCCCTCAGTACCAGAATGGGCTTTTGACGGAGGACAAAAACACTATGCTAAATCGCAAGAAACACTTTGCGCCAGGACGAAAAGCTCACATTTAAAAGGGTGATGTCCTTAGATGGTCTTCATACCCCAAAACGTTTCTTGCTTCCCAGCGGGGCGGTTTTGTACCACATGACTGACCATCTGCAAAGGTCCGCCTTATATGGCGAAATTTTCTTACGGCTGGTTTCACGCCGAACGTCTGGAACTAAACCTGAGTACGTTTTACCCAAACGACAGAGTGGAGCACTATACAAAAACGAAAGTCACGTGGTTTGGATCCGCTATAAAGTGATCTAGAGTACCTCTAACTTTTCCCTTGATAAATAAACAAGAAGACGTTAACTATCATACCGGAAACAGTAGACGAGTCCAGCGGCAAGGACCACCAGAAAAAATACACTACACGACGCAATTATGATTAGATTCTTTCCAGACAACAATGTAGCGCTGGAATCATCCTCTTCTAGTTTTACTGTGTCTTCAGGAGCGATGATTTGTCTTTTTCTCCGCTGACGTCTTCCTCCGTCAGGTTTATACTCCAACTGGACTGCATGCTGATTCCATCTCAGCCTGGACGGATGAAATTCCTGGATACTGTAGTCACCGTCACTGTCACTGGTCGGACAAAAAGTTTTTTCAGTCCGTTTAAGTGGTCGGCGAAAAAAATTTTCTTCTTCTTCCGATTTTCACGTCCGTTGGTTGAAAAAGTGTTAGAAATAAAAAATAACTGCTCCCAGTTTAAAGGGAACCTCCACTCTTACTACAGAATAAGTTTAAATCGAATAAAATTATGTTGATAAACAAATTTGTTCGAAATTTGTCTTAAAAAAAGTGTTTATATAAGGAAAAGTGAATTTTAAAATCCACTTTCAAATTTCTGCTTTATCTTGAGTGACGGTTGCTGACACAAAGGTTTTTATTTGAAAAACACGTCACAATTATTCAAGATGGCGACGCCCGCAAAATTTAAAACAAAAATAGGCGAATCTAAAAGTTATTTCTTTCGGATAAAAAAAAAAATAACTTGACTTGACTGTAACAGTTATTTCCTGTGATTTAAAGTTATCTTTTTGTTGAAGTGGAGGTTCCCTTTAACGCAAGCGCCGTAGACTATTGTTTGCTCCAGAATGGAGCGGGTCTTAAACTGTCAATATCAGAGTTATTTCTATGAGCGCTATTTGTTTGTCAGATAAGCCAGTGGCCAGTCCTGCGCTTTAAGGTCTCGTTTTCCAAAAATAACAGTTTGTGTCTCGATTACTTAGTGAAGAGAAAATCGTGAACGTAATGAAACGCGGAACGAAACATCACAAGCTTGCGTGTTTCTCTTCTTGCCAAAGTTGCGGGATGTCTTTCCCGGCCTCTAACAATGTTTTTGAATTGTGGCAAAATTTAACACTAACGTTCTAGTAGGTCTTACCTTTACAAAGTGTACTGGAAACAAGCAAAAACAGTAGAAACAACACAGGTTTTTTTCTCTCCATTTCTCTCTCAAATAAGCGCATGTATCAAATGCTACTAAAGCATTGAAAGTTTTAACAACTTACGTCACAATTATACTTTTATTGTTCGATGGCGCGCTTATTTCAGCGCGCGCGTGCTGCTGTCGGTTGATGTCGTGGAAACGAGGTTGGTTATCGGTAACGCGGCTTAACTTAGCTTCCCATAAATCTTCCCCACTTTTTTTAGCTGACATTCTTTTTTTTTGTAAACAGTCATCGTTTGCCATGAGGACAAGACGCTGTCATCAGATCTTCAAAAGGCAACGTAAGTTTTGATATTTAATAGAAAATTATCATCCTTTTCTTTAACGGGTCTACGTCATTGTCAACATTGTTTTTGTGTTTTCTTTTTCTCTTTCCAGCTCGCGGGATAATACCTTAAAGAAGTTCCTTGAAGTGAGTTGTTGGAATATCTTCCTTTTTGTGAAGTTTTAAAAAAAATTATATACTGGAAACGAATAACTATAAAATTTGTTCTGAAATATTTTGGATGAATCGCTCAGCTATTATCAGCCAAAAGTGCGCGGTTGTATAGCACTCACATAACTATAGGACTGTCAAATGACAAGAGAAACTGCATCGTAGATATTCTTTGGCTGCAGATTCCCATCCCTGTTAACAAAGAGTCTTGTGTTAAAATCATCTCACCGAGAGAAACTAGGCGATCTGTTAATCACAATTTGCCATGTTTTTCTTTCTTTTTTAGGACGCTACAAGGCTGACAGACAACTTTCTTGATGTATGCAACAAGGATGTGCCCAAAGGTCCCTCTAAAGACAAGCTCAGTATGAGTCACGATTTTGTCGTGCTAAAGAGACTCGTATCTAACCCGTAAGTTATTACATCTGGTACTATTAAAAGTTTAAAATAGATGATATTTAACGAGCTGTAACCCGAAATTTACTTAAATTCAATAAACGAGATGCCCGTTCCTATTCTGTGTTTTGTGATTATTTAGATTAGTTACAAAATATTTTATAATCGTTTCAGTGTGATTAGAATATAAAGTTCATTTTCTAGACAGGTCGGTGTGTAAAATTTGTGCAATTTTCACAAGGACCGCCTTATAAAGAATAATTCAACACATGAAAATCACCTACAATTAATTAATTAACAGAAGTTAACAAATGCCTCTTTGTTTTCAGAAATTTCAGTCCCATAGTTGTTCCACTCCAGTCCTCAATGACCGTCACGCTACCTTCAGGCGCCGGAAGTCACCATGACCACAATCCTTTTCCAGGCTCCTTGGCTTGTATTATTGGTTTTGAGGATACGGTCAGTTCACATTTCTTTAAAACATGTCACTGGGTTGTGATACTTTGCGTACGGTTGTCGATAGCGACAACTTTTCCTTCCTGAGAATAAGTTTATTTTATTTTCTTAACTAAATAAACAATACTTACTTATTGATGCAAGAAAGGTGTTTCTTTTGCGTCAGATGGTTTAAAGCCTGGAACCTAGAAATCTTAGGGGGTCGGAAATTCGGAAAACCCTTGGAAGATCCGATCGCTTGTACGGAGCTTCCGAGCGCCCCCGAAGATTTCTCGGTTCCAGACCTCGCACCAACTGACCGAAAAATTTAAACTGGTTGTCAAAGAAAGCACATTTTATGAAGTAAACAGCGAGTGATTTTGTTGTTGTTGTTGTCGTAACGAAAAGAATACAAGTAAGATTCAAGTTTGAAATTACAAACGTGGATATCACTTAACGTGGATATCAACTGTTCTTATCATTGTTTTATAGTTTATCTTAAATTTCCAGGTTATAATTTGTTTGTTTATTTATTTATCCATTCATTTTTAATTTTGAAATTTCCAGGTTGATGTATTACAGTCTCTTCAGAAACCAAAGAAGATTACTATCAAAGGCAGTGATGGCAAGACCTACACCATGATGTGCAAACCTAAGGTTAGTTCTTTCAGTGATAAGCAAATTATTTTTCCTTTGAGTATAAGTGCATACTCATGTGGGTACGATACATGACGGAGTAGTCATGGCCTCGCGCTTAAAATCCCCGGAGTTTCAGTGTTCGAAAACCTCTGGCACCACTACCGCTGGATTTTTTTTCTCGGTTGCCTTAGTTCAACTCCTCAGCCATCCTAAGCCAATTGCGTGCCTCCTGCGGGAAATGTTTAATCTCGTTATGTTCCCTTTGAAATGTTTGTTTTAATAAAGCGTTTCACATTGATATAACCAATGGTTAGGGAGTGCAAGTTGTGCTCAATGTGACAAATCACTCTTGCTCCAGCGCTTTGCTTTGCGTAAGTTTCCTTTGTTAGAAGGTGTAAGCGCCCGTGATCATATTACGCGTCCTCAGCCTTTTTGGTTCTATGCATTCCATTCACTCTTAAGTGACGTCCAAACGGCTGCGTGGGCGCATGCTTAATAGCGACCTGGCCCCAGCTGTTTAAAAGATAGGTAGCGCTATTCGATGGATAAATCTCTATCCACCGGATAACGCAATTGGTTTCCCTAATACTGGATAACGCTATCCATTAACCGTGGCCTGTAGATTAGGATTACGAGCTCCTCTGGTCGCTCGCAATTTTTAAGCAAGTAGATTAGTAGAAGCAACAGTAAATCTTTAGTTGTCGTCGCAAACTTTCATTTATCCCGCACTGTCTTAACATAGGAGGAAAACCTGCATATTTGTTTCTTGTAGGACGACCTTAGGAAAGACTCGAGAACGATGGAGTTCAATGCTCTTGTGAACAAGGTTCGACGTATTTTGTTTAGCATGTTCTAATGCCCGGGTTCTGCTTTCGACTGTTTCACTTTTCTTTTTAGTCTAGCTAAACATCTAAACATTTTGCTCTCAGACAGTGTCAGTAACACATATTGACCGTTGTAGATATTCGCACGGGACTGGACGGGGCACTGTCCTGTTGCTTTATGGGACTGTACTAATCTCGTACACAGGTCTCACTCTCTCTTACGCGGGAGATCTGGGTACGAGATTAGGAATATACGTGTGAAATACATGTTTTGGGGGAAGGATTTTTACTCAGTTTCCTTCGCAACTCCGTACTAGCCAATGAGGGGGGTGGAGGTGATAGATGTGAGAACGGAGGTTATATTTCTACTTTTGCAAGAATATTAATAAACCAATGCGAGATGAACTGTAGGTACTTGAGAACCGACAAAACTGATATGGCTCAATTCCTTCTAGTGTCTGCGAAAAGATCCGGAATCCCGAAGAAGGCAACTTCATATCCGTACTTATGTAAGTCTTTGATTGAGAAGTACTGAACTAAGTTTTGGAAGGGTACGCACTCTACACATCTTGCTAATGAACAGTGACTAACCCTAGAATTTTGCAGAAGCAAAAGTTATTTATTGTCTAACCACTGGAAGTGTGTCCTTACGTAGATCTGGCTGACTCCAAATTAGTGCTGGGAGCCGGCTACGATTTCATAATCGATCATCCCAGTCAGGAATAATCGGATTAACTCAATCGATGGATCATCGATAACAATCGGAAAAAGCTCTTAGAAGTAAATTCATTTTTCATCTGTGAGCAAATCAAAGTAATTTAAACTTTTGATTTCTTTTTCTTTGGAACACTCATTTTGATGCCGTGTTTTAGCACACGACAAAAACACACGAAATATATCAAAAAATGGTTGAACCGACGGATTAAAGTGTCATCAGGATTTCTTTGAAAAGACAACACAACAGTTTCAAAAATGTATTTTTTATTTTTCTGGAATACTCGATTGATCATTCCCCATAATCGATTATTGCGGCGCAGAAGGTTTTCGATCAACGACCGATTATAATCTATGATCGGCACACAATTACTCCAAATGGCGTTAGATTTTTTTTAAATGAGTTAATTCGAACGCACGTAAAAGGCTTCTTATTTTCTTATTATTTGATTGTGTTTTCTTTTCAGGCGGTGATTCCTTTGAATGAGGAATGTGGTCTGTTGGAATGGGTACAGAACACACATGGATTGAGAAATATTCTCACTAAAATTTACAAGTATGTGTTGGTTTTGTCTTGTTTCTTTGTTTCTAAAGTGTTTCAGTTAAGTGTTTTTGTAATCAAACCCCCAGGGGATTATTGACAATTATTGGACGAGGTTGAGCAGAATTTCGTGATTTGTCAGTGGCGGGCCGATCAGATCAATTATTTGCGGCAGGGGCTGTGGCAAATAATTGATCTGCGAGACGCTGACAAATCGCGATATTTTCGGCAACCGAATGCAATAATTGTTTTACCATCTAATCACCGAGTTCATTTTTAATGAGTAGATTCAGGAAGCGAAGCGATCTGTCATTTTCACGAAAGAGCAATCTTAAGAAGGAGAAAAGCGCGGTTTCATCTACGCCTGAGCAGAATGTTATTTGCAGCCAATTCGTTGGACGACATTGAGTATGAGCAGACCATTATTTGTAGCCAGTTTTTTGCAAGTCACGTTGTTGACTCTCGGCCATTGAAAAGGAAGAAAAATTTTCATCGAATAATAAAAAGCGTTATGCCGGGTAGTTTAGCTACGACCGCTTCCTTTAGACAATGAAAACTTGTTATTCCACAGCGCGCGGAGATGTACTGAAGACACGGAACTGTTAGTTTTGATTTGTGTACATCACACATCTCTCTTTTTAGATCTTTACCTCTTCCCTTTTTATTATTATTGTTTTTTTTCTTTACAGGGAGAAAAACATGTACACTAGAGGGGCTGAAGTGAAAAAATTAATTGACAGAGCGGGAAACAAACTGGAGTAAGCTGAACATTAGTTATTTTAGTTGAAGGTTTTGTGTATTTGTCTGTATTGTCGTCGTTGTTTTAATAGGCGGTTCCGGTAGTCTTTATAGTATTAACGGTCGGGTAATAGACACCCCACTCCTTGTAAAGTTCTTTTTTGTCTTGTTTTCTAGTGTTATGCTGTTCATTGCTATGATTTATATATGTTTTTTTTTTATTCTAGGGACAAAGTGCGCGTGTTCTTGAACGAAATTCTACCAAGGTACGTGAAAAACTCCAGCTGGTAGTCAGAGCCATCCTCAAGGACCCAGGGGCAGATAGTGGGGGCGAGGGAAAGTCTAAACGGGCGGGAAAATTTGGCACGAAGAAAAGTAAAGAACGGCGAGAAGAGCCCCTGGGTACAATGTCTTACCAGACCAGTTCCAAACGGTCGCCGCCGTCCAGGCTTCTGATTGGTGCCAGAAAACTTTCGTGTTTTTCTGCCCAATCAGAAGCCAGAACGGCGGCGACCGTTTGGAACTGGTCTGGTAAGACATTGTCCTCAGGGGCTCTGCCATATTTTTGCGCCCGTCTAGACTTTCCCTCGCACCTGCCCCTGGGTCTCCGAGGATGAGTCAGAGCGGGACTTAAAGCCGGCCTGAGTTCTAACCTGTCTGGCAGACATTTGTGTAATATATGTATACTGCGAATATGGTATTCTGTCTCATGAAGTTTGAGTAACAGTGACTTTTTTTTTCCTCAGACATCCTTCAGTTTTTCATGAGTGGTTCTTAAAGACTTTCCCGAATCCAACTTCATGGTAACTATCGAGAAACACTAAGGGCTTCGGCCGACTTACTGGAGAAAATGCTGTCATTCTTGTTTTATTCTAATCGGAGAGCTTTGTAACACGTGATTTTGCGGTTGCGTTATAACTTATCAGTTTCCAGGGATAGTTGTACCCAGTTTTGGCGAAGTTTGCTCTTATTGCTTTTATTACAGTAAAACCTACCGTCTGTTCCTCTACAGGTACATGAGCCGCCTGGCATACTGCCGTACCTCAGCGGTCATGTGTATGGTGGGTTATATCCTTGGTCTTGGTGATCGCCATGGGGAAAACATTTTGTTTGACGCTAAGTGTGGAGACTGTGTACATGTAGACTTCAACTGTCTCTTTAAAAAGGTCAGTAATGACTCCAAAGGAGGGAGTCTACCAAAACACAATTTAAAACTCTCTCCTAAAGGGTACATTAAAAAGTTTGAGCCTTTCGCAAAATTATTGTTACAAGTCACTTATCATGTAATATTCATTCTTTAATTTTCAGTATAAACATGTACAGTTTTTTTTTATTTATTATTATTTTCCAGGGAGAAACCTTCGACTGTCCTGAGCGAGTGCCATTTCGACTGACGCACAACATTGTTAATGCAATGGTGAGTAAACTTTTGAGCGAAATAAAGTATGCTTGGTCTGCATCTTAAAAAGCAAATTGTGTTAATTCCTTTTATTATTCAACTTCACTCAGTAGAGTACTGTACATACAAATAACACCCAAAATGAGTACAACCATCTCAGTATTTGAACCCCAGAAAACCGGTTGGACAGCTTTTCTACAAACTTCGCACATGGCAGAAAATGCATCGTTTCCCGAACAAAATAAAGGGTTGGAGCCAAATTGTAAGCTTAAATAAAATCGAGCCTCTAGAGAGACGTCGCCTGAACAACAATGAAAGTTCGACATTTATTAGAATTTTTTGCAACATGCAAACTTTATAAGCTCAAAAAACAACAAGGAAATTGAAAACAGACTTGATCGTGTTTAATTGAGATATGATGATGGTGGAACTCCGTGAAACAAAAGACGTCCATTAAAAAAGAAAAGCTCCGCCGACGAACTGAACAGACTTCTTCTAATTTCTCTACTATGGGAGGAAACTAGACATGGTAGACTCTAGACGTTCTCCACAGAATTTTTGTTGTTGTTAATCCTCGCGAAGTTGAGGTTTTATGGCTGTTGTTTACGAGTAGCTCCTTGAAACTTCTTGAATTTGTGGAAGATTTTTCGTCTTTCCATCGCAATTTGCTCAGCTTAGTTTTTCTACCAGCAGTCAGTTTCACGCAAAAACCGTAAGACAATCGCAAGGGTGTTTTCATTGCCGTCATCACTCTATCAGTATCTTCATTGCTATCTGCTTGTTTAAAATAAATGAATCAGAATGAATAAATAAATAAATTCGTATGCTGGTTAAATATAGGGTGAAAGTAATTCAGCTGGTGAAATTGAAAACGAACGTAACTACTCTATAAATTCCAAATATCAAGTTCGTTAAGACACGGAAATGGCAATTTGTATTTTGATCCTTACTGTCATTGACGGTCCTCGTAGCACTTAGTCTCCTTAGCAGCTTCTCGGACTGGAGTCAGGCAGTGCTCCTTGCCCCCATTACGCGGATAAGTGCGGCTGCGAAGGAGACTACGTAGCACTAAAAAATGATTGTGGTTTTCAGTTGAGGTATTGGATTTTTTTTCTTTTTTGGATGAAGGGTCCTCTTGGCTGTGAAGGTGATTTCCGGCGTTCTTGTGAAGTGACGCTCAGACTTCTAAGGAATCAGTGTGATTCATTACTAACGTAAGTTAATGTCTTAAACAAGATTCATTGAATGTGGTCGTTTTCATCATGTCATCATCTCATCATCATCATCATATACAGGAGACAGCGTGGCCGAGTAGTCAGCGCGTCGGACTCGCCATCCGGCGGTCCCGGGTTCGAGCACCGCTCGGCTGCGCTTGTAAATAGCCATCTGGTTGCCCCCTGTCAGTTAGGGTTTTTAATCCTGTTATGTTGTATTTGAATTATTTGTTTCTAACTAGAGTGCCTGTGAATATACCTGGATAAGCTAAGTGCGCGTTCCACTGTAACCAAGCCTTTAAACCTTTAAGCTTTAATTATCATCATCATCATTATCATCATCATTTATTTGCCTTGTTTCGTACCCGTATAAGCCTGAATTTTTTCAGGCTTTCCTTTGACGACTGCAAAAATTGCGTCAATAAATGCTATGACCTTTCCTTAATTCTGCTATGGGTCAGTAAAGTTCAAAATGATGGGAATATTATTTTAGGTCGTGCACGGTCGAGTCAAAGTTTATTTTTTTATTACACAGTGTTCTTCGAACATTCATTTACGATCCTCTTGTGGAGTGGCAGAAAACAAGAGGGAAAGAGTTATTGGCCGAAGCTTCTAAGAACAAAGAAACTGGAGAAGTCACGAATGAGGAAGTAAGTATTGATCCTTTTCATTCATTCTTGCAAAAGTTTGTGGTGCGCATAGAAGTAACAATTATTACTTCCGTTTATAATATCGCCATTAGGCCATAGACCTTGTCAAGGTTTTCGACGCCATCTTGACGAGTAGGCAAACGCGTGAGAAATTTTTGGAGCCTACCTGTCCTAAAATTTCTTCAGAGGCTTGCTCTAGATTTTCCATATATTTGTCTGTAATTTTTCCCGGGACTTTCTTACAGACAAATTGTATAGAAAATTTAAAAAAGTGGTTCTGGGTCTTCTACGCCATGTAACGCCCTCAATTTTTTTCAGTAGAATCCTTTAGAATGAAGCTTTACTTTACAGTTGATATTTTTTTCAGAACAGCCGTTTTACGGAAATTATTGGACATTAGATTCTCATACAAACACTGTAATTTCTCACGCGTTTGCCTACTTGTCAAGACAGCGTCGAAAACTGTGATATCGTCTATTTTTGTCATAGTTACTTACAGTGTATCTATGGCAGCGTTCACACTTAGTTCTCGGGCACGGTGCCCGATTAGGGTCCTCGCTGGAAGATCAATTTAGGTTTCTGGGAAACTGCTCACCTACCCCTCCCCTGAGCCAACATTTTGCCCTAAAGGAGAAGTAAACGTTAATGTTGGCTTAGAGGTGGGGTAGGTGGGTATTTTCCTAGAAACAAACCTAAATTGATCTTCGCTAGGCACGTATGGTCAGTAACTGTTATGAGTGTGAGTCCTCCGATTTTATACGCGATCTCAAATCGGAAACTAACGGCGGTTTCGTGGTGATTGCTTAGTGATCTCATGGAGATTTTCAAATAACTATGCCGACAGAGTATTCGATTATACGTTTTTGTCATATAGCACGGTCCAATCAAATTGTTTTTTCGTTCCTTTAAATGAATTATCGCTTCCTTCGTCGATATTTACTTATCGTGGTGTTTATAAGTCTTAACTTATGCTACTTAAATAAGTATTGCGTCTTCCACCATGTATTCATAAGAAGTTCCTCTTGTAAAAACTCCGTAAGATTCCAATAGCTTTCTCTGTGAAGGGCTAACTTACCCCGTTATTATTTTGAGTATAGGGCCCTGTTCACACTACGCAAAAATTCTGTCAAAAGGAAGCCATTTCTTGTGCGAACGGTTTTTTTCACCGACCAAAATTTTGTCAACTGTCACCTAAGTTCAAAGACGCCGTCTAGAAGATTTGGAGCCCTCCCTTTTTTTTTTGGGCAGGGTCACCTTCTTTCGCGAACATGACCAATTAAAGTTCCTTTAATTGACATCTCTAGTTAGACGAAAAATTTCGCTTGTCTCAGATGCGAGCGAGGTTGCAAAAACAAAAAATTGGTGCTTACAAAATTTTCAAATTTTTGCAGACGCCAAACTTTTTTTGTTTTTGTAGTAGTGCGAACAGGGCCTAAGATTAAAAGTATCCTGTCTACCTAGGGTGTGAAGATATTGAAAGATATCGACAAGCGATTTAAAGGTTTTGAGGGGAGCAACAGGATCATGATACCTTTGTCAATAGAGGGACATGTTCATTATCTTATCAATGTGAGTTTTAGTTTTCTTTTTTCATTATTATTATTATTATTATTATTATTGCTACTACTACTATTACTGTTACTATTATTTGGCAACTCTCTTATCTACAATTTCATTCATATCTACATTTTCATTCATAGCATTTGCGCGCGAAAAATACTATCCACCGTTTTAGTATATACTAAATTGTTTTGTTGGTGAGTGGGATGCGGGATGAGGCGAGGAAATTTTGACCCGTTTATCTGCCCAGCCTCCCCAAAACAGTCCCGGGGTCCAACTCGACTTAAAATATATATATATTTTTTGTTCACCACAATGAACGGACGTGACGTCTTGTGTTTTTGCACTTGTTCGCTCAATGTCACCCCATCACGTGCCTTTCCTATGTCCCTGTACTTTTGCACAGCATAGTTGTTGGCTTCACACTAGAAGCGAAGTTAATTTAAAGTAAGTATTTGATTCAAGTGCTCTTGGAAATCTTAAGTCGCTCTGTAGAAAACATGGCTCCACAGTTGTTGACAAAGTATATTACTTGAAGTAAGGCTGTTAATCTCTCCGTTCTTGGAACCGCTGCACGTACACGTCGTGCACATGGCTTCTATTTCTTATTGGTGAAGTGTGTTCTCAAGTGTGGTGTAGCCCATACTTGGCGGCGAACTTCGGTTTCTTTGAACTACGAACGTTTCCATGGTCACCAAGTAAAGTTGAAGTAGGTACATGTTACCCCTTCACACTCAAAGACGGTTGCAAGTACACTTACATTATACTTGAAGCTCTAGTGTGAAGCCAGCAAGTATAACAACGTTTTACCGTATCACGTGAATGTCAAAAAAAGTAGAAGGATGTTCACTGAGTGAGCACATCGTATTTCTTACATGTGATAGGCTAACCTCTCTTTTTAATTCCGATCTTTGCTTCTATTGGTTTTTGCAGGAAGCCACAAGTGCTGAAAACTTGAGTCGCATGTACATTGGCTGGGCGCCGTACCTTTAAATTGAGAGGGAAGCAAATTAGTGGCCCCAAGGAATTCAGTCAGAGTTACTCTTTGCGTTGACTTTTATAAACAAGCGCTAGAAAGTAGACAACACTACCGAAACAGGATACATTTCAGTGTGCCAAATAAATAAGATACCTTATTTGCGTTTGTTTGTTCGTTTGGTTATTTTCTCAGTCTATTAAAGTAGACAATTTTGATAAACTCATCCAAAACAAATAACAAACAAGAGGAGATTTCTTATGGCGCTTACCAGTCATTTTCAATATGAAATATTAGTCTTCCTTAAATGTTTTACTAAAACCCTTTACTTACAGCCGTGCAAGAAATAATCTGACCTGGCTGGATAGCCTGTGTACAGACCCTCCCCTCCCATGAGAGGGGTCTGTACACAGGTTACTGACTGGATAGTCCTTATCAATAGTGGAATTCTCCTGGTCTGGCCAGTCAGTTTTGACAAATGTTAAACTCCCTCAAAAATAATGAATTAAAGTAGAATTCGTAAATTTGGTATCTTTTGTTCAGTATTACTCTTACTCTATTGTGTGGGTGCATAAAACCTAACGTCAGAAACATTTCCATTATGGTATTCCGGGGGATGGGGGTTGGGTAGAAAGCTGAGTGGAAAAGCTGGAAAGTCACCAAAGCTCTTGCAGAAGACAGAAAGTGTTGGTCAGACAGCGTGGAGGCCTTATGCGCCTACTGGCACGATGAGACATTATGATGATGAATCCCTTCAATTAAGCACATGAAAAGATCGAAAATTGAATCAATTAAGTCCGACACATCTTATGCGGGTGGACCCATGAATTAAGGTTGAGTGGCCCACATGGGAATTTCGACTGTGGAGCGATTTCATTTCAAACGTCGAACTTTTCATGTGCCGAACCTATGGGTAAAGTACTATTATATTTTCACTGTTAGGCATTTTACGCCCGTCGTACATCGTGAAAATGAAGGGCGTCAGGCTTATTGAGCACGACTCAAATCAACCGTCGAACTTATATTAGCCTGCGTAGCAGGCGCTTGGAAGTAGTGGGCACAAGAAAAAACGGGCGCGCGAGACGGAGACACCCGAAGTTCGACATTTTAACTGGGCCTTAGAACCACGCTCTGATGACCAATATACAATCACTAAACTGATCGGGATTGATAAACGATTAATTTTTGGCACCGCCCGCTTTCCTTAGAAAAAATGAATTTGCGTCCTGTTTAGAGGGTCTGAATGGGTGTACCTCGATATCACTAAACACTTCATTTTTTGGCTTTGCAACATGAAACAATTAAATTTTAGGCATTTTAACACTAACAGTTAAAACATTCTTTGAAACAGTAAATTTTTTTCCAGAAAGAAGCAAAAACCACTCCAAAAAGGCCAAATGAATGTTATTTTGTTTCAAATATAAAGGAGGTTTCGGCCATTTTAAGACAATTTCTTTCAGATTTCCGAGGTCTATCGAAGATTCCCGAAGACTGCCGAAAGTTTTCGAAGATTAACGAAGAGGCTCGACCATTGCCGAAGATGTGAGAAGAACCCTCCAAACACTTAAAAGTACTTTCTTCTAAAACAGCAAACATTATAATATTGGCCAATTTAACCGCAAACACTAAAAATTATGGCCAAATAACACTAAACACCATTCAGATCCTCTGTTAACTGTACTCTTCGTCCAGTATACAATCAACTATTCGGACGCTTTAAGAACCTCTCATTAGCGAGAGTCCGTAATAGTGGGACTTTATTTCAGTCAAACGTTGGCAATTCATTTTTTGCCTGGGATTTAGCTGATGCTCGTATTATCGGGGTGTGTGATAATACGGCAAGAGTTGACGGTAACAAGTTTATATGATCTAATGTTTTCTCTACTTTTACTGTGGAAAAAAAGAAAACGGAATAGTGTGAGCGGCTATGTTTAATTAAGGATTGTTTTGGTCACTGACTTATGAGTTTTCGTAAGAATGTTTGGTAAATTATTATTGTGGCTGTAGCGACACTACAGGAAAATAATTAATAGTTTAAACTGAAAAAGAGCTGTCCTTATTTGACTCTAAGCATCTCATTTCTGCATCATTGAAGGCTTAAGTTTTTAAACCGGCGCTACACTGATTAATTTGAAATGCAAAAATTACTTTTATTAAGATCTAACTAGAATAATGTGTTGTTAGAAACAATGAGAGCGATCAGGTCTTTTCAATTTGCGGCATGTTTTAAATGTTTTGTCTCTCTTAATCTCAGCGATATTGGGTCAGTCTTTCCATATCTCTGTTTTAATTCTCTTTGTAGGGATCTTGTAGAGACCTTTTAAATAATTGACCAAACTAAATACGGCCTTGTAATACAGTTTTCGGCGAGAAGGACGTACAAATCAAAGTTTTTATAAGACTTGTTTTTATGAGACTTATGAGCGATACAGGAACAACGTTAGAATCTAGAGGCCGTTGACTCAAAGCATCGCATTAGCTTACATGCTAAGACGATGTGAACACAAAATAAGTTATTTTGTTTGAAAGAGATTCAGTTGAATAACCCAGATTTGTTTAGACACAAGCTAAGCACTTACGAGATGATTGGGGGTAATGAACTGGATGGGAAAAGTTGCTAACTCCATGGAGCTTAACTTGATTTGTTTACCAACGTTCAGCTGAACGTACTGGGGATAATCGTATCCTAATTAGTAATTATACTTAAATGGAAAGTTCTCTTTTCATTTCATCGATATTGGGTCATTCTTTGAACTGTACAATTGTTTTCTTTATTATTTCTGTTCTACAAGGAACATGCTTTCAAAAACATAGAGAACAGACCATTGTAGTATTTGCAGGTCGATGATAGTCGGCGATATAAGTGAACTCGAAGCATCTCACATTTATGAGACCGATAGCAGAAAATCGCTTTCTTTTTCGAAGATTAGCCGAGCCTGCTGTTATTCTCCCGAGTCAATGGGGAGAAATAAACTTGATCGAACAAAAGCATTAAAAAAAAAGATCAATTGAAAAATCATTTTGATCAAACCAAAAATAAGACGTTGTGGTTTAAATTGTCTACTTTTAAATAAAGGTCATGATAAGAGCTGCACTTTGATAGTTGATCGGCCAGCGTGCAAGCTCCACTTGTTAGCCTAGAGTTGGGTGAAGAGAAAACGCTACTTTCCCCTTTCCGCTCTCCCATCCCCCTAAATTTTGAATCAAACATTATATTTGAACAAATAAAAATTATTTAGTCAGTCAGTGTATGAAAGATCCAGTCGGCTGAAGCAGATCAGTTGATTAGTGCGTATGTTAGTAATTGTATTATAAACTTGTTATGGGAAGCAACGGAGCATAACTTGTTTTGTTGGCTTTGCGGTGTTACCCTTGCATATAATTATTTAAAAATCTAATTGATAATCTTCGTGAGTGTTTGAGCTTTACGGTATTGCGGGATTGACCTTTTTTTCAAGAAGTTTTTCGGTAATTTATTTTAAATGTGCTGCGGTAGCTGCGGTATTCGGTTTTTCATCCTTTTGCCTGACGGTATTTGGTAAAAGAAGATCCTTCACGGTATGCGGTACCATTTGCAAAGAATGTGCAACACAAAAGTTACTTAATATTTTTAAGTCCTTAGATAAAATGGTAAATGATTATGATCAACACGATTTCATGACAGTTAATCTACAATGGAATTGTTGTTGCATTTAATGACCGGGCATTTCGATCGTTGTGCCGATAAACTCGAGGTCTTCTCATCACTTTCTCTGGCAACGGTTGAGGTTGATTTCTGGTGCATACATGCTTGAGCTAATCAAACACGCGAGATGGACACAACTTTACTTAAGCATGAGCGATCATAAATGAGGTATCGGCATTTCGTCGATTTTCGACACGGTATTTCGGTATTTGCCAATTTTTGTTACGGTATTGCTGTATTAGGCACCCCCAAATGTCCCCCTCATTTTGTCTCAAAGAGATTCAATTGAATAACCCAGCAGATGTGTCTGTCCTGAAGGCTTTCAGACACAAGCAAGTACGGGATAATAAACTGGACTGGAAAAATTCATTGGGGCTAACTTGATTTTGTTCACCAATGTAGGAGAAAATTGTGCCTTAATTACTACAATGGAAAGATCTCTTTTTATTTCATCGATATTGCCGCATGGGTCATTCATGTCACGTAATTTTTGTTTTGCAAAGAACCAGTACTTTTAATAACATAGAGAAAGCTCGTTAAAATATTTGAAGGCAAACTCAAAGCATGTCACATTTTTCAGACCTGTGACAGAAAATGGCTTTCTTGTTCAGAAAGATTAGCCAGCTGTTTACCCGAGTCAATGACGGAATAATAAACATGATCGAACAACGTCGACAAAGCTTTTAAGCTATTAAAACTCTCTGTCTGTCACCCGCATTAATTTAGCCTTTGACAAACATCATTTTTAATCACTAAAACCCTAAAAAAAACCTTGTGATTTAAATTGATAGGATGTACAATTTGATAGTTAGAGCAATTTTCAATTGAGTGTTGAAAGTAATCCAGGATTGAATTGGTTTTGCTTTACTGTGCTGTTTGATTGGTCTAGAAAACTCGCGCCACCCTCTCAGCCAATCAGATGTAAACTAAAACCAATCGCTCCTTGGTCACTCGCGTTTTCCCGCGCTACAGGCCGGTTACACGCGTTTACTTCGAGTTGCCATTGGCTCCCTCTGATAATTTCCTTTACTCTGATTGGCCGTTGTGATTACTTTGGTTTTGGTTTTCGACACTCAATTGAAAAGCGCTATAATCAGACAGCGAGTAAGCTCTAGCCTAACATGGGGGTGAAAAGAAAGCGCTGCTTTATCTCCCTCCCGTGCCACGTTCTCTCCGTCTTACAAATTTTGCATTTGAGGATAATCGCACAAAACCAAATTTGCTTCTGAGTGGACCAATTGGGATTGGAATTAAAAATTTGAAAAATCTGGTCTAAGTTTGAACCGTTAAATAGCAGTTATAAGCAGTATTATATTTCACAACACTTAAATTTAGTTTCCCGTTTTCAGTTTATTACACTTAAAAACTACATCTGTGTCTTCTACTATATAATTGTATTTGCTAATTTCCATACTACAAAACCATTGAAATCCACTGAGCTGGCTACCAAACGAATTGAATTGCTTGTAATCCTTTAGTCGCCCGTTTACTTTTAATTATCTTGGTTTTCTATTGTCTAATTGCATCGCTATGCTCCACCTACAGAACCCCCTAGTAGCAGCCATTAACTGTTGATGCAAAGATCACTAACTTTCTCAGAGCTTTGGCAAAAAAAAGTTCATTGTCTCAGTGAACATCAAGCTTTTGAGCCACACCGGTGTCAGAAATTGAAAAGTATAATTTTGTTTTTAACACTCCACCCTTTAC